CTTTATGGTCTTCATTATTGTTTGCAGTCTTTCCTCCTCCGAGAAGCCATTTTCACATGTTACGAAACACTGTGAAGCATGAAGGACTCTAAGGTAGATTAATACTTTCACAATTGATGTATGTAATGCATCCTGATGGCCTCAGGGGCACACAAAACATTTGGCTTGTCTTGGAACAGTTTGAATAAGAGGAAAGGACCATTTATTATCCACAATTTCACTACCAGAACAGTGTATGGAAGGAAATGTTATAAGTTTCAGATAATGAGGAAATTTTGAGTAATGAAGGTTTAGGCTTATCACTTTTTATTTCATTTTAAAAGAAGTATATGCTGCCTCTAATTAAAATAATATCATGGGCCATGCACAATAAAAGAATGTAATACAAAGCAACATTTCAAAGACAATTCAATGTACAGTAAAAACAACCCAATAAAAAATTTCCACATCAGTTTGTGATTTTTTTAAAGTCCTCGTGAAAATTCATAGCATTTCAGTAAGAATTTATTCTGATATGCCTGTTTTTTGCATGCAGTTGCACGTTTTAAAGAGCACCAATAATAAAAACATAATAAAAAGCATAACTACAGACAGTATAATAATAAAACAATCGTAATAACAACACACAGAGAGAGAGAGAGAGAGAGAGAGAGAGAGAGATTTAACAGGCCATATATTATTTAATGGCCAAAGGCCTGAGTAAAGAGGAATGTTTTTGCCTGGTGCCTAAAGACATGTAATGAAGGTGCCAGGTGAACCTCTCTGGAGAGAGCATTCCACAGTTGGGGAGCCACCACAGAAAAAACCCCGTTCTCGTGTTGATACCCTCCAAACCACTCAGGGAGGAGGGACACAGAGAAGGGCGTCAGATGACAAGCACAGGGTCCATGACGGTTTGTATGGGGAGAGGCAGCCCTTAAGGTATTGAGGCCTTGAGCCATTTCAGATTATATACCCCTGATTTTCACTTCCCACTATTCATAGCCTGGCATGCCAGATTTCCATTTAAAAGAATCACTCAATATCTTCACCCAAATTCACAATTCCTAGGTCACAACTAAGAAAAGCTGCATATAAGCAAAAGTTTTACAGGCTCTGGATTCAAGATTCAAAACTTCCTCATTTCTGTGATTGCCTTATTATTACCAACACCAGTTCTTACTACTCTCAGGACTTGTTCATATTTCACTTGCCCCATGCCTGGAAAGCATGGGTCCAAGTGGTTTTCCATTTGCGTCCCTCCCCTCTGATTTTCCCAGGAAAACCCGCTTTTTACCGCTGACTCAGAACAAACATCAATCTGTGGAAAACGCAATGGATGTTTGTTCCGATTCATTAGTAAAGAGTGGCTTTCTCCAGGGGAAAATGGCGGGACAAGCAGAAATGTGAATGAGATCTCACAGATTTTCCTCTAATAAGTCTTATGCCCATAGCTGTCAACGTTTCCCTTTTTTTAAGGGGAAATTCCCTTATTCCGAATAGGATTCCTCGTGAGAAAAGGGAAAAGTTGACAGCTATGCATATGCCATGCCCTGGCATCTAATTATTTGGTCAGCATTACTCAGCTCAGCTCAGCAACTGGTCTCTCAGGAGTCTCTCAGGAACTTTCGCTTCCCTTTATCTTCTCCTAACCCTTCTAGTTTCACTTTGCAATTCAGCCTTCTCCTTTGCTGTCAGGGACTGGGCAGAGGAGGAATGGTGGAGACCGCCTCCCCATCCTGCCCCTTCCAGGGAGGAGGAAGAGGAAGACAGTTTAGATTTACAACAGAGGTTTGCTGGAGATCACAGCTCAGAGGCAGATGAGAGGGAAAGTTGGGATATAATAGGAGAAGAGGAGGAAGAAGAACCAGAGCAGCAGCTGGCTGAAGTGTTGTCATTAGAAAGCATTCCAGACCCTCCATCTCCCAGAACCCGACGAGCCTCAAATGTAGGAGAGCAAAGAGCTCAAAGATGGCACGTAGCAGCACCCGTAGAGGAGATAATGAGGAATGAGGAAGTGGGAGAGACGGGGGTGGGGTGGGGTGGAGATTCACTTGGGACAATGCCATTATCCAAGAGGCTGGGTTCTACAGCCTCTCTCTGTAAAGTCTGAAATAAAAAAGGACAGTAATAAACCTTTCCTTGTCTTTAAACTTTCCTGGGCAACCAGCTGGGAGCCGCTGACGGCAAGCACTTAAAGATGTAAGCAATTAAATCAATCTTGTAATAATCCAATAGTCCCCCTGAATAGTTCAATTAATAAAACTATTGCTCACATTTCCCCCTCTCTGACTTTTCCCAAGTCTAAAGTATGTAATATTATCCCATGCCTCTATGAAATTGCCATCCTATATGCTATGCAGAACATATATCCATCTGCCAAAGTATACTGCATACCACCTATAAAACGTTTAGCTCCAAGATTCCAACAATATCACCAGCATACTGAAGAGTCTGCCTAATTGCCCTTCTTGAAAAGATATCTCAAAAATTAAAAGTATCTGAAGGGCGGGGCTCATTGGTTGTTGTTTTTCTATATGGCATGGTTTTATTTCTTATATGAATATTTCTTATATGAATATTGAGGTACACAGTCACTCTGTGCCAGCAGTATGCGCAAACATTTGGCTTATCTAAGACTTTATAAAACCTTTATTCTTAATATTGATGGAGCTCAGAGGTGGAGAATACTTTCATTTTTATATAGCTTTATTATTTGTAATGGGAAGCTTTGTATGAGTTAATACATTATTGCTATTCCCTGCACTGCATCTTTGAACTTTTGTCGTTCCAGGCTATGGTGTTTTATGGTTTACATTTTAAATTCTTTGCTTTCTTTATCTTTGCACTTAAAAAAAGGCAAATCAATTTTAAATTAAACTGCATACCTCCTACAAAATCCTTAACCCCAAAATTCAAAAGGCATCATCAACATACGGAGGGTACCATTCTCTGACCACTCCCAGTGACTTCATATAGATGTTAAACAGCATTGTGGATAAGTTGATTACCTTCAGCACCCCGCAGCATAACTGCCAAGGGGAGGGGTAATAAAAATCACCCATGGTTGCTCTCTGAAACCAGTCATAAGAAGGAGAGAAGGCACTGTGTGGACCACAACAGGTGGTCCAGGAGGATACCATCAAAAGCTGATGAGAGAGCAAGAGTAACAGTTTTGAACTCCCCATGTCCCTCTCCAGCATCAGGGAAACCAAGGCCCATCCCACCCCCAATCTAGGCATGAACCCAGAGAGAAATGGATCTCAATCAGAGATTGAAAACCCTTAGTCTGTAGGCCAGATTCAGCCTTCCTGGCATCTTGATTTGTCCTGCCCTGCCCTACCTAACTGCACCTATGATATAATACAATGTCAGGTGTGGGGCAGGTAAAGTCATGTCTGTAGAAGAACAATCAGGAATCTGAGAATGCACTGAATTCTAAACCTCCCTATACCCAGTGATTCCGTTGCAGTCACCCACCATGGCTTTGCCTGCTTCACCCATTGTGTTTTCATAGTTTATAAATCAGGGAAGTAAGACCCTGAGAAGTGTCACAGTCTGCCAAATGATAAGCAATATCTTGAGCTGCACATTACAAGGTCTGTGCCAAGGCACCTGTGTTTGCAAAGATCTTCAGCAGCACCAGAAAATGCCTCCCCCCTTTCGTGATTTTTCAGCTCTCTTTCGCAGAGAATGTTCACTTATTCATAAACATTCCCTCACTCTCAGTTGCTCTCAATTTTATCAAAGTGATGTCACCACATGGCCAAATATGATAGGCTGTGTGGTGTTCTGAAGTTACCCTGAAGGAACACGTGGGAGGAAAACTAATTGCAATAGCAAGTAGGAGAAACCATGACTCTAAGCGTGACTTTTAAAATCATGAATATTCACACAGAAGAAGGACATTACTTGTAGTGGGGTAGTACATAGCCACCTACTAGACTAGTCTTACCCAAGTGAGTGCCCGCCGTAAGTTTTGCTCAACAATTTCCATGCACTGTAGCCAACATGGCCAATGACCAGGAGTCATGGAGTCCACCCAGTCCTAAACACTTGGATTCTGAGTTCAGATTTGCATAACCACAAAGGCATACACACAGATCTCACAATCCCTATAATGAACTTCTTTTTGTATGCACCTACAAGCATATGTCAAGGAGGGGACCAGCTTTCTAATGAGCCCTATGGTGATCCTTCCATGTATGGTCATTGCATCTGCAGAAGGATGGATCATAGCCTAAGGCTGGTGGTTTTCTGTTTTTCATTTGAGAAAAAGGGGTTTAGGAATTTCTGGGTTACCAAAATTGTTGATTTCTACCCTAAATTACATTCAGTTAAACTATTGTGATGGACAGGGAAATATTATTTTCCTTATCCTTGATGTTTTTCTTTCCTTGCTGTAAAGTGTTGTTCGGGAAAATTAAAAAGATGGAAAGATGGAAAGATAGATACAGACAAACATTACAAAACTATTACTGGATTATACACTTTAATATATTTTCCTTGACCTTGGTTCTTGAAATTGCAAGCGTAAGAAAAGTGTTGTGGGGGGAGCTGAGTTTCCCTATAATTTTTTGCCCAAAATGTCATGGCTTAACAGATTTGCCTAGCCTTCTAACTCTGCCTGATAATAAAGAAAAGATGGTGCTGGTAGCTGCTTTGATACAGGGCGAAAGTACATCATCTCCTCACTGCTGATTATTGAACATGTATAATTAATGCTTCGTAATTTCATTGTCGCTTAAAAGAAAAAGAAGAAAGGGCTAGGGATGCAAATGTAACTGTGGCTATAACAGAATGCAGTTTGCCCAAAGCATGATTGATGGAGGAAATATAAAATGAAGTATGCTCAGCATTTTTTCGTGCTTACGCTATGTCCTCCTTATTTCCTCTGCGCAAAACATTCAGCTTATAGTGAAGCCTGACCCATATGGCAGATTCATGTGGAGAATAATAGATGTGATGTTTGCAGTCATTCTTCCTTTTCCAGGGCAAATGAGGAAAAATTATAGAACAGTATGAAAATCATGTTCGGAACTGACAGTGTCGGGAATGACACCAAAAGCATCAGCAGCACATTGGCTCATGATCACAAGAGAAGAGGCAGGGTAGTGGGGTGATGCCATAGTATTCTCAGGCCTGTGGCTCTGGGGCCAGCGCCAGGTTTTATCACTAACATGACATGCAAAGGCTTATTTCAAGAAAGAACTGTGTGTGGGATCATAGGTTTGTCTGCAAAACACACCCCAACTCTCCAAAGCTCTTTCCCTATAACCCAAAGGTTTTGATGTGGAACAGAGCAAGCTGCCTCAGACTTAGTCAGATCCAAGGAGAGTATTGTATACTCTCCATGCTCTCCAAGGTTTCTGAAATGGGACACATTCAGCTCTACTTTGGCATGCTGGGGACTGAATCTGGGACCATCTGCATGCAAGGACCACTTAGCTGTGGTCCTTCTTCAGATAGAGAAACACAGGAAGCTGCCTTGTACTGAGTCAGACCATTGGTCCATCTAGCTCAGTACTGCTTATTCTGACTGGCAGCCATTCTCCAGGGTTTCAGGCTGGGGTCTCTGGCAGTCCTACCTGGAAATGCCAGGGATTGGACTTGGGAGCTTTTACATGCAAATCAGATGTTCGACCACTGAGCTGCAACCCTTCCCCTAGTGCTCAGAGGAAACAATCTGCACATGCTCATGTTCAGCCAGCCACATGAGAGGGCAGAAGCTTGCTCAGAGCCCCACACAAGATCATAGAATTGTAGAGTTGGAAGGGACCATGTGGGTTATCTAGTTCAACCCCCTGCAATGCAGGAATCATTTGCCCAACATGAGGCTCAAACCCACAACCCTTGAGTTATGCTTTACCAACTGAGCTATCCCAGCAGTCTATGAGCTGAGTATGGAGGAATATAAAAGCCCCCTCCTAGGGGCCCGCTCTAGGTCAGCCCCCGCCCCCAGGCACTGTGTCAATGACTCTCAGATTCTTTAGTAGAAAAAGCAAAACTGGAAAAGCTTCTCATAAGGTTGAAATAACCCTGCTTAGGTTGCCTTTGTGCTGGCTTTCATTTTATGGTGATTTCATGCACTCTTTTTTCTTTCTTATTATGCCCTTTGGTTTAAAAACAATGTGTCATGATATTTAAATGAAAGCCAGTGACGGCCCAGAATCATGCAACTTAAGTCAATGGAGGATGTCGTTTAATGACTAGAGAGCAATCCAATTGCTTTCCTGCTGTGATGTGCACATTTAGTGACTACTGCTGTTCTTGGGGGGGGGGGGCACTATCCCTGCTGCTCATGACACCTTTTGGTACATTTTCTCACTAAGACCGAGATAAAAGTTTGATTAAAAGTTTAAGTAGTTATGGTTTGGTTTGGTTTGGTTTTTTTCTAATGGCTCTTCCTCTGGGTTAGCACAAAGTAGAAAAGGAAGCAAAATCTTAAAAGGATTTCCTCCTTGAAATATGAACCCCCTTAAGTTTTGGTAGCAGAGCCAAGTCTGTAAAATGAAATCATTTCACTGAGAACAGATGCAGGGAGAGGAATTGTAGAAGAGTCACATCCATCTGCTGTTGCAGGTGACACAATCTAGGTGGCCTTGTGTCCTGCTTTACTGAGTACCGTCCTCTATTTCAAGAGCTGTCAAGCTCAGTCCTATATTGGGAAAGGGCTCTTTGGTTCCAGGAAAGAACTCTAAGAAGGGAAACCCAAACCCCTGAAGCTTCCCATCTGTAATTAGCACTTGGACAACAGACTGAGCAGGCACTCAGTAGGTCATCATGCCATCCATACTGGAAAAAGGGCAGTGGGGAGGTGGGGGGGGGGGAGAGAAAACAATGCAGGCTGGAGTCTCTGCCTACATGGGCATCTGTGTTGTAAACACATCCAACACATGGAGGAGAGTGCTATCAATGGCTACTACCCACAATGGCTATCCTCTGCTGCCACAGTTGGAGGAAGCAATGCTTCTGAGCACCAGTTGCTGGAAACCACAGGAGGGGAGAGTGCTCTTGTGCTCATCATTCAGAAAATCTCTTCTTTCATTCTCGTGCTTATCCCTTGCTTTCCCTCTTTGCAATGTTTCTGTCTCAGATTCTCCCTTTCTCTCCCCTCTTTCTTTCTCTCCAGTTTGTTGCCCAGCCCAACTGCCAGCAGCTGCTAGCGACGCTTTGGTATGATGGTTTTCCCGGATGGCGGCGAAAGCATTGGGTGGTCAAGCTCTTGACATGCATCACCATTGGACTGCTGTTTCCCGTGCTTTCTGTGGCCTACCTGATTGCCCCTAAGAGCAGGCTGGGACTGTTCATCAAAAAGCCATTTATAAAGTTTATCTGCCACACTGGCTCCTACCTTACCTTTCTCTTCATGCTCCTACTGGCATCGCAGCACATTGTCAGGACTGACCTCCACATGCAGGGACCTCCTCCAACCATCGTTGAATGGATGATCCTCCCATGGGTTCTAGGTAAACTACTGAATGCAAAAGCATGTGAGGGTTGATGGGATTTGCATGCAGATTAATTTGGTTTGGGGTGCTGTTTCCATGCAAATAGGTGTAGCACCTTAATTTCCAAATCAGTAGCTGTTGTTTCTTCTGCGGGTGAAAAATGGTCAAATAGTCTACTGGATTTAGCCTCCCCCCCCCCCTGTTTTTGCTACCAGTTTGGGATAAGGCTGAGGGAATAATATAGGTATAATTTTTTCCTTTTCTTTTCCTCATTTGTCTTAAGACTGTGCTTCTGATTAGGGTTAGCCAGGTGGTACAAGTGAGTTAAAATATTTATAGGGGCAGCAGTGAAATGGTGTACAGTACAGTACAGTACAGTACAGTCACATTCTGCACTGTCACACCTTGGGGAAGCACTGTGACAGAGCACATGTTTCACATTCAAGAGGTCCCTGGTCCATTCCCTCACAGCTAATAACAGTGGGTAATGAGTAACATCTCTGGAAAGCTTCTGCCAGTCAGCCCCACAGCCAAGCTGCCTCCTTGCCTCTCAACTCCATGCGTCACAAGTTGGCGGCAATGGCAGCAGCAGCCCGGGATTGGCTTTGCCTTGCCTCCTCCAGATACTGTACCTCCGCTCAGGACCCAGACTCCCAACTTCACCGCCTCAGGAGCCCCCATGCTGATCCCCATCTCGCCTCACAATTTCCCCTGTGACTATTATGTGGGAAATGCCCTGGGACCGATTTTAGGGTCTGAAAAAGGGGTGTGGTACTATTACAAGGTGGCAACCAGTATGCGGTAAAATACGGTTGATACATATGCACAGGTGCTGTTTCCAAGGGCTGCACCTAGAAAACCAGCTGCCAAGAACATGAGAGCCATGCTGGATTGGCACAGTGGCATTCTGCTCTCACAGCACCCATCCAGATGCCTAAGAGAAGCCTGCAAGCAGACTGTAGGGGGAAATTTACTCCCCTTTGTCTCAAGCTTTCCCTGTAGGAGATTTTTTCCTACAGGTGCATCCTTTGTAAACAGCCCCTCTGCAGATGGATGGAGATCATCACACTCACTTAAAATAACTCATCATAATAATTCTCGCAAAGGTCAAATAATGGAACGATAATGGATGTTGTTTTAACTAAAGCTCTCAAAAACATTTTACTGGGTGAGCTGGATGATTCATGTGGGCAAAGTGGGCTTTTTTGTTTTTCCTTTCCTTCGAATGGTTTTTTTAATGTCCACTTCAACCTGTATGCAGCACTAGTCAAATGTTAAGAGTGAAAAGCTAAGCTTTCTCAGGTATGAAGTGCTAGATGGTGACATTGTCTCTTTTTGTCCTGCTGTTCTATATAAGGGGATTAGTTTAATTAGGATGAGCCTGGCAAATAAGCATGCTTCCATAAACACACATATTTCTTCGCCTCTTTCAGGTTAAGCTGCCCTGACCTCAAAGCAGCTGTGGGCATATAGGAGAACTCAAGCTATGAGGAAAACATATCCAGTCATTAGCTCCTGGACTATTAGCATCATGGATGATTAGCAAGCTTTCAGCCTAAGAAAGAATGCTCTCCCAGCATTATTAGAATGTTCCAGCAGCGGCACTTTTATTTGGTGGACATAACAGCCAGCCACATATAGATTTCCAGCTTATTTCATGCACTTCACAAACCCTTACGCAGGAAGCACAGAGGGTCGCTAGACATTTTGACAGATTCAGTCTCCTTGCTGCTACACTAAACTACATCAGTGAAGAAAATGTACTGTAGATTGTGGCTGCAATTTGATGTCACTATAAGCCATAGTCTGTTATGACAGGAACATGCCTAGCCGTACCATGGCTGCAAAAATAAGTTAAGAATGCCTCTACTTTTGCTATGAAAGAACCTGCCTGTGATTAAGAGTCAGGCTATCAGGAGCTTGTGGGCAGGACTAGTAAACAGGGGTGTTTGCAAGGGCATTTAGTAGCGGAGTTGGAAACGGGAGACCCCCAAGGTCTGCATCATGGTGCAAGAGGCATGAACAAGAGGCATGAACAGTGAGGGAGCTGCTTCAGTGACCTGCAGCACCTGTGCCGTGTTTGTTTTCTCGCCTGAGCATGTACGAAGGCACAGATGATGCAAGTGTAAGTTGGCTGCCTGATCAGCTTTACGGGAAGATACAAGGGGAACAACTATCTTGAACCTGGTCCTTACCAGTAGGGCAGAACTGGTTTATGAGGTAGAAGAGTCTGAAACCCAAGCCCTTTGATGAACAGTTAAGGGAGTTGAGTATGGAGAGAGGTGATATGATAGGCATCTTCAACAAGCTAAAGTGCTGCCACATGGAAGATGAAGCAAGTTTGTTTTTGGCAGCTCCAGAGGGTAGGACCTGAACCAATGGATTCAGATTACAAATAGTAGATTTGGATTAAACATTAGGAAGAACTTTCTAATGTTAAGAGCTGTTCAACCATGGAATGGACTGCTTCTGAAGCTGCTAGGATTTCCTTCCTTGCAGGTTTTAAAACAGATGTTGGATGACCATCTGTCTGGGATACTTTGGCTGTAAATCATGCACTGCAGGGGGCTGAACTAGACCAGGGGTGGCCAACTCCCAAGAGACTGTGATCTACTAACAGAATTAAAAACTGGCAGTGATCTACCCCCTTTTGGGGGGATCAGGTCAAAGTTGTTGAACTTTTTTTAGGCAGGAGGAAAGCCCCAATTTTTGAGGATTCAAGCCTAAGCTCAAGGGAGAAAGGGGAACAGCCACTCATCAACAGATTGCTGGGGAAACAAACAGCCTCACTGAGTAAACTCCGTCTTCCGTTCTGCAGATCGTGCAACAATGGAGGGCGGGATGAGGGGGCAGAGCCAGATTCTTTTTTTACCAGCGCTAAGGAAAGGGACCTAACGATCAACCATGATCTACCAAAACCTCCCAGGGATCTACCAGTAGATTGTGATCGACCTGCTAGACATCCCTGGACTAGATGACCCTTAGAGTCCTTCTAAGAGTCATCTAGTTCAATGCATTTGATGCATTATTTTTAAAACAGAGTTTTCCAGCTAAGTTGTATACAGAGTAGACCCACTGAAAGTAATGTATCTAAGTTAGACATGTCCATCAATTTCAGTGGATCTACTCTGAAAAGGACTGATGTTGTCTGCTACGCAGAGTAAAAGCATCACATCATCACTCAGATTTAGTGATGCAGCCAATCAAATATGTGATGGCACTACAAAGCCAGTTCAGAGTGAAAACAAAACTTCACTCTGAATGGGAGAACATCTTCTCTCTGTGTCAAAGCCACATCCACACACACAAATATCCCTGAAAGGTTAATTCTCCCAACTGCAATTGGGGCAGACCTACGGGTTATTTAGGTTGGCCCCCATCAAGGGTGCAGGCCCAGTGGGGCACAAAAATCCTGTCTTTCCACTCTGGATTGGAGTAGCCAGGAACCTTCCCATCCATGCACTCCCTGGGCCACTCCTATGCTGCTCTGGGCAGCTGGACAAGGTTCACAGGCTCCTCTGGGTGCCTCGGCAGAGAAATCCAGTTGCTGTTATGGAACTTTGCAGCAGTCCTGCGGGCCCCTCAGTGGGCCAGTGGCAATATTAGAAGTGTGAGCGGAGTGCCCTGTAGGGCTTAGAGCAAAGAAAGACAGAGAGAGCAGGAGGAAGAAAAAGGAAGGGAGGGCGGAAGGAGGCAGAAGGAAAGGACCGAGAAGAGAAGCAGATGGACTGATGGAAGAGGAAGAGGAGGGGAGGAGCAGAGGGAGTCATTGTCATAATGTGAATGGCAACAAAAAGTAAACTCCTTTAGTTTCTTGTCTGTGGTCTCTCCCAGTTTTGGAGGCACCGATACACCTCCTTGTCAAGGGTGCAAGGGAGCCTAGGTCTGCATCTGCCTACAGGCAAGCTGAAATAATGAATAAAAAGACAGGTTGATTTTAAAAAGAAAAAAAAAAAGACAAATCATTGCATTGTATTCTTACAGCTCAGCTGCACAGCTTCTAAAAACGAAGCTGAGAGTGATTATCTGAGTTGAAACACCAGAACAGCGGGAACTAGTCATTGCATAAAAGAACGTGCTCACAGCACATGCCTGCAAGCAGGCTCCTAACTAGGTAGTGTTTCTTAATGCCCCTCTCTCTGTCTCTGCCTTTGAGTTTAAATTGTGCAAAACACCTCTGCGGAAAGAAAAGGGATTACAGGGGAACAAACAAGCAAAGGATGAATTGGTTGTAAATAAAATGATGGTGCCTCTTTTGTTTCGGGTGTCTTCGTACTGTTTCAATCTTGTCTTTAACATTCGAAATAAATTTAAAAATTGTCAAGTAGCACCTTAGATCATGGCCACGAGAGATTTTACTTCCTTGGGTTCCATGATCACTGCAGATGGTGACAGCAGTCACGAAATTAAAAGACGCCTGCTTCTTGGGAGAAAAGCAATGACAAACCTAGACAGCATCTTAAAAAGCAGAGACATCACCTTGCCAACAAAAGTCCGTATAGTTAAAGCTATGGTTTTCCCAGTAGTGATGTATGGAAGTGAGAGCTGGACCATAAAGAAGGCTGATCGTTGAAGAATGGATGCTTTTGAATTATGGTACTGGAGGAGACTCTTGAGAGTCCCATGGACTGCAAGAAGATCAAACCTATCCATTCTTAAGGAAATCAGCCCTGAGTGCTCACTGGAAGGACAGATCCTGAAGCTGAGACTCCAATACTTTGGTCACCTCATGAGAAGAGAAGATTCCCTGGAAAAGACCCTGATTTTGGGAAAGATTGAGGGCACAAGGAGAAGGGGACGACAGAGGACGAGATGGTTGGACAGTGTTCTCGAAGCTACAAACATGAGTCTGACCAAACTGCGGGAGGCAGTGGAAGACAGGAGTGCCTGGCGTGCTCTGGTCCATGGGGTCACAAAGAGTCGGACACGACTAAATGACTAAACAACAACAACAAAGCACCTTAGAGACCAACTAGGTTTGTTCATGCACACAAAAGCTTATACCCAGAACAAACTTAGTTGGTCTCTAAGGTGCTACTCGACAATTTTTTAATTTATTTCGACTGTGTCAGACCAACACGGCTGCCTACCTGAATCTTGCTTTAACAGGTTGTGTTTGTCTCCAAAAAGAAAGATATAGTGGGGCTCTTGGTTAAATTGCGGAGGGAAGGCATTGTTTCATAGCAAAAAAAAGTATTTCCTTCTTTAAAAGGGGGGAGGGGGAGAAAATATGAAATGCCTCCTTCTAAAAAAGGAGGGAGACAAACGGAAAGAACAGTCACGTTCCATGCAGACGGCATGGCAGTAACTATAGTAACAATTCTAACAATGATTACTCGCAGTGAATGTAACATATGGGGTTCTTCATCAGAATCCACTCCACTGATTTGTTTGAACAGGCAAAAGAAAAAGAAGAAGAAGAAGAAGATTTTGGTAGAAAAATAAAACATTCCTTAACCAGTCTCAGCAAGATGATGATACTGAAATCACAGTTCAAAAGAAACTGAAAGATAATATTTTGTTAAGTTTTCATGAGGCCAGGATGCATCCAAAGAAGTTTCATTAGTACAAGGATCTACATTTGTACAATGAACCTTCCCACCTCCCTCTGCCCTGCCACACGCTCCTCAGGTCTGTTTTGGGATGCTCCCCCAACCCTCTGGAGCAGATCCGTAGAGGGCAAGGGATGCACAGAGGGAGGAGAGCATGCAAAGTTTCACAGGGCAAGCAAAAATCATTGCACAAATGGAACAAGTGCAATGGATGCCTCTCATTGATTCAACTCTCTCTTTCCCTGTTGTTTAGTGACCATAAGGAAATGGAAGGGTCCAACATGGCTGGGTGCCTTTTCTTTTCGTTTCATTTGCTTGTCTTGTTCATTGTTTTTTCTTGCTGGGCGAATGTAGATAGAATTGATATTATATTTTGATAAAGCTCAATTAATGCATATTCAGGCCTGTAGTGATAGGATAAAAAACAATAAACTGGTAGTGGCGCATCATATCATCCCCTTTTTGGGTCTTCAAATGCTAAGCAGAATCAATGTTTGGAGGGTGAGCAGACACTCCATTTAGGAACACAGGAGGCTGCCTATTTGGTCTATCCAGGCCAGGGACATTCCCAGTCCTTCCCGGAGATACCAGGAATTGAACCACGGACCTCCTGCATGCAAAGCAGACGCTCTACTACGGAGCTATATAATAATTTGCACACAAAAAATTAGCGCATGAAAGTCAGGGAGGCTGATGAGTAGTCCCAGTCTTCCTCTTTGCATTGACTGCATGGAATTTGATGGGGCTGAAAAGGGATATAAATGGACACACAGATATGGATGGTGTGTAAAGCTACGTTACACAGAGCTGGCTCACTGAACTGGCCCATCTCACCGTCCACTGTCCCTCTTTAACTGGCAGAAACTCTTTAAGGTCTTAGCTTGGCAGAGGCTTTACCAAGAGAAGGGACAATGACTCAGTTGCAGGAACCGAGCACCAAAGGCTCGCTTCAGCATGGTCCACTGTCACGTCTCCAGTGTGCAGCCTGAATGCCAAAATGGGGAAATCAAAAGCCACTATTATGCTTGGGTCAAGAGGGGTGGCATGAACAGTCTCTAACAACTTAGGAAAGAGACTGTCTCTAATAAAAAAAGGAAAGAGATACCTCCCCCCCCACCTCCAAATAGCCTTTTTCAAAGTTAAACTGAATTTTCTCAAAGCAAACTGCTCTTGCTGCACTTCCATCTTAATATAAAAACGGTTAAATGTACGCTTCTTCCAGGGGCTTTTAAGCCTTTTCCATTTGAAGCGGCAGCTCAGCTACTTATGCTTGTACTAGTCCTTCCACATCAAGCCATATTTCACATCCTGTCAGAGCAGACTACTTAAAAGCAGCATCATTATGTTTTTTCAGAAACAAAGGAGTGGCAAGAGGGGATCGCCGAATCTTGCTTCTGAGCCACTGTTTTTAAATAGTGTTTTCATAACGTCCTGTTTACTCTGCTTTGGTGGCCAGTGAACGTGTCTCATGGAAATGAACTCTCTTTCCTTAGGTTTTATCTGGGGCGAAATCAAAGAAATGTGGGACGGAGGCTTCAATGAGTATGTTCACGACTGGTGGAACCTGATGGATTTTGCAATGAACTCTCTCTACCTGGCAACGATCTCTCTGAAAATTGTTGCATATGTCAAGGTATCATTACCATGGAGCATGTGTGTGTGCACTCGTTAGCACTGGGGTGGCTAACCTGTGACCTGCAAGTCATATTTATGCTCTTAAGGGTTTTTTGTAGCTCCCCCATAGCCTTCCCCCCATTTGTCATTTTTAAATTAAAAGTCACTTACTTTAAAAATAACAATACATGTTTTTACTGACCACTTCCATGTGTAAGTAAATGCCAAAAGCATCTTGTGATCCCCTTCAAATCTTTTTTTTTTTTAAACCATCTACTTTTGCAACTCTTGACATTGGGCCCAAAAAAACATTAGTCACTCCTGCTTTAGTGTCAGGCTTCTCCAAGATAATGGCTTTCTTTCTTTCTCTCTCCCTGCCAACCTGTGGGTCCCCAGATGTTGTTGAACTACAACTCCCATCATCCCTAGCAAGCAAGGCCAGAGCTCAGGTATGATGGGAGTTGTAGTCCAACAACATCTGGGGACCCACAGGTTGAGAACCGCTGGAACACATCAAATTCTCTGTGAATTCTGTGATTCTATGATTACATTACAATTTGGGGGTATGATCAAGTTCAGGCATTTCCTGTTTGCATATCTGGAGTCTTGGGGATGTCTGCTTCTTCACCCTTTGAACCTACTCACTTCTCCCCCCACCCATTATCGGCCTCATTCATGGTTCTTAGCATCTTGTCTGCACTAGCACTAACCACATCAAGCTCTTAACCAGGGTTTGCAAACTCAGTTCAAATAAATGCTGATTTCAAATCCTGATTAGAAGTGGAATCCTATACATGTATGCTCAAAAGTAATCCTGATGTATGTGGGACTTACTCTCAGATGTATAGTATTGTGGTCTGCAATGTGAACTTGGTTGCCATCAAATGCAGCTGTAAATGATAAACTATGGCTAGGGTGGACTTGGAAAGTGAGGATGAATGAGTAACCAGTTCCTTATCCAACACCCACTTTGCAAACCATGGTTTTCAAGAAGCCAGTGTTACATGCATCAGAAATGTATCTTGCTTGTGCACCAGGTGCCCAAATAAGGATTTTTCTTCTATCCCAAGCAGCTGTGTCACTATCTACATGTATTGATGATGGATGGTGCAAGGTGGGCAGTGGTACAACTGCATTTTAACAGTTTTAGAATTTAACAATGAAACATCAGAGGATTGCAGCACCAAGAGATCAAAGGCAACAAAAGAAAGAGGGGAGATCTGAAACCATGCAAGTCAACATTTATTAGATAATTGTGGAATTTGAGCACCAACCTCTCTTAAGAAGTCAAGGCAGTGCTCACCTGACCTCCTATCACTGGCATCTCTGCACATTTCCAGGAGGGAGAGGGGAAGGGGCATATTGGCTGGGAGGGTGAAACAGTACAAATACACCTGCAGGGTTGACTCCACCTGCACATTAGCACCATACCAACCATCCCACCACTTATCCCTCCTGGTCAGGTGTAGTGACACCAGTGATGGAAATCAAGTAAGCACAGCCACTCTTCCATACTGACTGCTACTGTACATGTCAGGGGTTACTTGAATTCATGCTCACGGGTTACTTGAATTCATGAGTTACATGTGCTACCCTGAAGGTGTGACATTTGGCATCTTTTATGTGGAACCTGTTGCTTTGCAGGGCGTTGGACTAGATGACCCATTTTCTAGCTCTACAATTCTATTATTCTAAGACATGGGGGCCAATTGCACTGTGCCATTATTTGTTTTAATTATTTATGAGGTGTTATGCAGTAATCACCACATCCTAATTTTGAACATAGGAAAAGATTGGTTTATTTGCAGGATGAAAATGGCAGTCAGCATCTAAACTGGTTTTTTGTCTTGGAGCGCCAAATGCAGTCTTACAGGAGACTAAAATGCTAAGATCAAATGGGGCAGGGCAGGGATGGAAGGGTGCATGTACACTTGAATGCAAATGACCTGCGTTTGGATTGTGTGAGGGCCGGAGGATGGAAAAACCATGGCTCAGTCACAGAACATTTGCCTTAAATGCAAAAGGTCCCAGATCTCCATATAAAATGTTCCATTCCCCAAAAATCTGGAGAGCTACTGCCAGTCAGTAGACAAAACTGAGCTAGATGGACCAGTGACCTGTCTCAGTATAAAGCAGCCTCATAGCTTTTTGCAGGGCTGTAGCTCAGTGGCAGAGCATCTGCTTTGCACTCAAGAAGATCTCACATTCAATCCCTGGCATCTCCAGGTAGGGCTGCCTGAAATCCTGGAGATCCTCTGCTGGTCATTGTAGGCAATACTGAGCTAGATGGGCCATTGGTCTGACTCAGTATAAAGCAGCTTCCTGATTTGATTGTGGACAAGCCTGTACAGAAGGGATGCTGTAAAACAGTAGTTGCATTTGCTGAGTCATGGCTGGTGTGACAATGCACGTTTCTCACTGCAGATTGATTGGGCAGTCCTGGGTGTGTATGTGAATGTGAGCGGCAAGTGCCAATAGAGGCCAAATTGTCTCAAGTCCGTGCCATATTTGGACCTTAGTGACAGATCTGCCCTGCATGGGAAGCAGATGTAAAAGTGCTTCACCAAAGGAAATTCCAGTGGGCCAGTGCTACTCAGAAGAAGGCTTATATTCTTGCCATGGCCGATGAAGACCAAATTGTAGCTCATGCTTGAATTGGCAGTTGGCAAAGAATCAGGTGCATGATTAGACGTTAGAATATTCTCAGAGTTCTCACACCTCTTGATCGCATCCATAACAAGAAATCTCTATCCAATGCCAAATTTTCCTTCCTCCATGCACTTGCAGTGAGGATGCACTTGCTGCACAGTTTCCTGCTGAGCAAAGTCAAAGGAATCATATACTTCAAGTGCATATGCAGAGTGACAGCCAGGGATGGCCCAAGACATTTTGGAACCTGAAGCAGACCTCAAAATGGCATCCCCCCTCTCTGCCAGGGAAGAAGGGGTAAGGGAAGATCTACATCAGAAACAAGGGGCAGGAGAGAAAGAAAGATCTACATTTGGATCTGCTGCCCTGGTGGTTCCTGCCAACTGAGGCAGTTTCCTCACCTTGCCTCATGGGTGGGCTGGCCCTGCTGACAGCAGAACCAAGCTGTTAGGTACCAGAGCTCTGCTCTTCACACATCAATCCTTGCTTCAGGGTTTTCAGACAGTACAAAACTTGCAGCATCCAGATAAAGACGTGTCCTCTGAGGAAGAGAACAAAGCTTGAAATATGTCAGGGTTTTCTATTGGCTTAATTTTGGCCTGTTCCTTTCTTTTGCCGAGTCTTCAAAACCTCTCTGGGGACTCTTTTACTGGTGTCCTAAGTAAATAAGTAAATAAATGTGTGAAGAACATGGGAAAATGCTATTGGACGACAGAGAGAAGGGTGAACTGCTCAACACCTGCTTTGCCTCTTTCTTCACCAAAGGAAAGCAGTGCCCAACCTGGTGATAACAGAATAAACTATGCAAGGAGGGAGCTGCAGCCCTAGATAGGAAGAGAGGTGGTAAGGGAACACCTAGCTACTTCAAATCTGCAAGGCCTTGTGAGCTGCACCCAAGGGTACTAAAGGAGCCTGTGAATGTAATCTCACAGCCTTTGTCTGTAATCTTTGAGAATTCTTGGAGAACAAATGAGCTCTTCAGAGGCACACTACCTGGAGGTAAACTATAGCCATTGTGTCCCAAAATAGAGGACTCCTTGCAATTAAGGACTGCCCTCTTGACAGCCCTTTGCAAAGCAGGACACTCAACATCCCTAGCCATTCACCATGCTGGCTGGGACTAATGGGAGTTAGAGTTCAACAATACCCAAAGGTCATCAAACCACTTTCTCATGAGGCATGTTGCATCACTGGACACATGCAAAATATCACCGTTTCAACAGTGAGCAACAGTGGTGGACCTTACGGTCTCAAATTTCAGCAGCACCCTCTGCAATACCAAAACTTGGAGCCCCCTACATTTTGCCTTCCATTCTACCTCATAGTTGTTCCACTCCCTGCAGCTACCCCAAGGCTCAATGCCCAGTGTGGCCAAACCAGGCATGCTCCCTTAAATCTGCACAACCAGTACCTCATGTGGCAGAGATGGGCAGCCTAGCAGGAAGGGCTTCCAGTTGAGAGCACACCGTGTGCAAGCCACTTTGACATTCACTAGTATTTGGAAAGCTGCCTTTAATGATTTGGCACAAGATGGTCAGAATTGCTATACAGGACAAGAGAAGGATGCATCATTGATTTTTGATTTTTTTAATGACCCAGTTAGAATTTGCCCTTGAAGATGCTGAATGATATAGATCTGGCCAATTAAATTACTTTGTCAAGTTATTCTTCTCAGGGGCTTCAGCACAAATGTTGGCTAAGAGCCTCATGCATTGTGGGAGTTTGTCAAAGAAGCTAAGCCATATCTGGCACCCACTGCTTCCCTTGGGCAGCTGTTTTCCAGGCACACTCTACACTCATAGCTTCCAGTTAAAGGTCTAGTGAAGAGTTAAACATGAGCATTGTAAGGGCTTTCCACAAATCAAGTTGACTGAGTCTCTCCGTGACGCTCGTGGATGTCTAGAACAGTTTGAAATGTCAGAAGCAATCAGAAGCCATGCAGAAAGGCATTTGTGCAGGACTTCAGTACCTCTGCACTTCGGGAAAAATTATCCTTTTTTAAAAAAAGAAAAGAAAGCTTTACACAATCCTTGGTTTCTATAAACCAGTTTAATTTATGACATTTTTTCCAAAAGCATGAAAATTCTATTTATGTAGCCTGCAAACGTACAGACACAACTCCAATTTAAGAGGCAAGCAACAAGTATTTACTGTTGGCTTTTATTGCATGGAGCCATGCAGCAAAATAAGTCCTCAGTGTAACACCAGCAAGCAAGCCACATTATTTTCCTCTTGCATGCACCATTACCACTAGGTTCAACCTGAAGCTGTCTCACAAAATGACACAGTGATGAAAAAGACCTGCAATTTCAAAATCACTTGGATGTCATACAGCAGGGGCAGACCAAACATGCTGCCCTCCAGGTGCTGTTGGACTACATCTCCTATCATCCTGACATGGCTGGGGCTGATGGAAGTTGTAGTGCACAACACCTGGAGGATACTATAGAAACATATTGTCTAGAACATGAGGCAGAGTGTGCCATGGGGTTTCATGTTTGCCACACCACATAAAGCAAACACCATTGGTTTGGTTTGGCATTTTGCTTGGCTAATTTGTTTTTTGTTTTGTTGGTTTACTTGCTTGGCTTCAGGCCAGTTGCCAAAAAAAGCAAGGGGCAAAGATATTCCTCACGTCCCCTCACTCACTTCTGATGATGCTATCTAGTAGGCTTTAGGCCCAGACTCATCAAAACCCACTGAGCACCTCTTTCCTCGGTCCTGCCACCAGGTTCAAAGTATTGCACCACAAAGCCCTGCTTAGATACCACTAGTAGCTTTTCCCAAATGCTCTGGGACTCAACTCAGCCCTTCCTCGTCCCCAAGGCATCATCTTTCCCCCTTCACCTACTGACTGCATCTCCCCAGACAAGGCTCTCACCTCACATGGAGTCACACTTTCTTAGCCATGGAGGCTTTTCCACGACTTTGCCAGCAGCTGGTCTGTACTATCAAACTGCTAGTTCTGCTCCATTTTGTTGGACACCTGCCCTTGCCACTGGATCATTTGCTCAAGCTGCCGGCTCTGCTGTTCTATCATCAGCTTTATTTCTTCCAGGACTGTTGCTGCTTCTCCCCCCATTTTGGCTTCAGGTGCACCTCGCTCACAGGCCTTTATGGTAGTGAGATGTGGGCAACTAACACCCACCAGGAACACCTCGTTACTTTCCACATGTGCTGCATCAGGAACATTTTGGCCATCACATGGCAACACAGAGTCTCAAATAAAGATGTGCTCTCCCAAGCCCACATTCCCAGAATGTCCGTATTCCTAACTCAGCAACATCTATTCTGGCTTGGTTATGTCCACAGAATGGAAGAATGAAGGCTCCCCAAGGACATTTATTTACATATATATAAGCCTGGGTCTATAATGAATTGGAGGCTTTCAGCTTCTCCCGTAGGTGTCGTCCTGAGTTCAAACAGACATCAGACATCCTGCCTGCTGCCCTGGCTTTCCTGCTCATATAACTCCTAACTGTGCACTAGGCAGCTACCTAGATTGCTTCTCCACTGCTTACCAACTGAAAATCTTTTCCTGTAGAGCACAGCAGGGCAAACTGCAATCTTGAAACTCTCCTCCTAGCCTTTTTCTTCTACTCAGGGAGTTCTACTCAACTCCTAGCTCTGGGAGGGTCTTCAACCATTTTCCAGCTGCCACAGGATCTCTGCTTTGCTAATTGCCCATCTCTCTGCCCTTTTTTTGCTTAAGGACTCAGACATTATCAGGCTGGCCTGGACACAGGAAGCTGAGCCTCCAGCTATTAAGGGTCTGATTTCCAGTTCAACTCTCCAAGCAGTGATTAAATTCTTACTGTTGCTTAGTCGTTTAGTCGTGTCCGACTCTTCATGACCCCATGGACCAGAGCACGCCAGGCACTTCTGTCTTCCACTGCCTCCCACAGTTTGGTCAAAGATTAAATTCTAGCACTTGCTAAATCCAGGCACCCACAAACCCTTAACAGTATCTTCTGCCTAGGATGAATCCAAAGAGGTGAGCCCAAGAAGGCTGGTGCTGCATCACCTGAGAGCTGTCCTTTTGCTGCTGTAGAACATGCTCAGCCAGAACTCTTTGGCTGTATGCTATTGGTTCCCCATAATCTTTTGTGAAACTGCAGGGACTCCTCTGATGCACCTTGTGCTTCACATCCCATAGCCTTTGCCCATGCATATAGCTGATGGGAGTCATGTGGGGCTACTGTAAACAGATCAGTACATCCAACTGGAAAGTATGCTACTTTGTCTTTTTCCTGGGATAAATTCTATCTTCTAGGGTCACATTCTGTCCCGGGCAACCTTATTGGGGGGGCTGCATGCTAGTGGTACGCAGAGGGAGAGGCAAACAGTGGGCAAAGCAGTAGATGAGATCATTACCTTTTGTACATTCCAGCCACAAAAAAACAAGAGAATTCTACATGCATGCGCCTCCTCCATCCATGCAACCAAAAGGCACCATAGTTCAAAGACAAAGCCTGGCAAAAGCACTCAAGGAAGGTGAAAGAGTTTGGCTAAGGGAAGGGCATGGTTTGAGAGAGTCCCAAGAGCCTTCTCCTCCACAGATTTGTCTAATACTCTTTCAAAGCCATCCAACAACTGAATAACTGCACTATGGGATGGAGTACTTACTTTTGTCCATCCTGACTCTCCCAACATCAGTATCATTGGATGTCCACAAGTTCATATTATGAGAGAAGGAGAATTTTTCTCTCTCTCCCCACTTTCTCTACTCCAGAACTGTAGATATAGGGCTCATCCACATTTAGCTTTTGCCCCACGCTTTCTAGGCACAAAAGGAAGTATGGAGGGGGGAGCCTTTATTGTTCCAAGTGTGGCCTCACTGCAGATTTGTACAATAGCGTTATGATACTGGCAGTTTTATTTTCAATCCCTTGCCTCATTCTCCCTAATGAAATAGGGGGGTAGACTCTCCTGCAGTGAAGGCTGGTTGTTAGGAAAATTGGGCACTGCCTTACCAAGCTCGATCTACCCTCAGCCAACCCCCAGCTGCCCAGCTTCCTCCTTGCAACACATCCAGAGGGTGGCACTGGCTGTCAGCTTTCTCTTCCTCCATAGTCTCAATGCTATCCTTTGTGGAACTCAACAGAGAGGAGCAGGATGGGGACAAAACTAGAATTAATTTCTTCTGGCTGTCTTTGGCTCTGGATCCACCTATTGTTGTTGACCTCTATGCCTTTCACCAGACAAGTCCCAAAGAGCATCAGGTACCAGTGCTCCCCTGCAAGAGTAGCACCTTCTACTCAGTGAAATTTAGAATGCATGTGTACGTGTGTGGATAATGTTCTGAAAAGTGAAATGATGTCATTTGAAGTGTTGACTGCAACAATTCACCTGTATTCCTTTCCCCCCCTTCCCTATTATTTCTTGCAGTACAATGGTTCCCGTCCAAGGCAGGAGTGGGAAATGTGGCACCCCACCCTCATTGCAGAAGCCCTCTTTGCAATATCAAACATTTTAAGCTCCTTGCGTCTCATCTCCCTGTTTACAGCAAACTCTCACCTGGGACCCCTGCAGATCTCTCTGGGACGTATGCTGCTAGATATTCTCAAGTTCCTATTTATTTACTGCCTGGTGCTGCTGGCTTTCGCCAATGGACTGAACCAGCTTTATTTCTATTACGAGACCAGTGCCTCGGAAGAACCCAACAATTGCAAGGGGATCCGATGCGAGAAGCAGAACAATGCCTTCTCCACGTAAGACTCCTTGCCTCTCTTCTGTTGGTTTGTTTTCCTTCTTCTTTCTGCTCCCTGAATGCTGCTGTTTCTCCCTGCGGTGGCCTTGGCATGCTGGCCACTGCTCCTGCTGGTGTTGCAAAAATTCCTTTATCTATTCATAGATGAGTGTCAGTCCATTTGTCAGGGGTTATGTAAGCCTGGCCTGAGTTATCTCAGACAGACAGTCTGCAGAAGGACAAAGCTGAACTTGAGCTTTGCAAGGGACTTGGCAAGGCAGCCGTCAGGGTGACAGGACTTTACACCCTGGCGCTATAATTCCCGTTGTTAGTATTTGCATATCACAAAAGAACAAAGCTGCAGGGACTCTCCAAGGGCTTATTCAGGGAGTAAATGCTGTCCTAAGTGTTTCCAGCGCTGCTCTTCATCAGGACCAAATCCTTAAAATGGTATATCCATTGTCAGTTAAATCACCATAACATTCCTGTTACTGAGTCATGCAAATAATACAAAATTGCTCAAAGGAAGTTGCCCTTTAAAAATCAGAGTCACTGTGTTTGACATTATAAGCTGTTTTCTTACAAGGGATCCTGGTGTGCTGTTCCTTTCTTAAAAGCTGTATTTTGTAATGTTCTGATAAGAACATAAGAACCTGAACCCTGCAGGATCCAGCTAAACTGGCACACTTCCCCTGACCAACGAAATCCAAAGTGGAAAGGGAGGAGGAAGCATTCACATCCGTTCATGTAAAAATCAGACAGCACCTGCCCCCAACTTATATGAGAATAGCATAATAACAATAACATTAATACTAATACTAATACTAATAATAATTTATTTACATGTCACCCACATGACTGGGTTGCCCCAGCCACTCTGGGCGGCTCCCAACAAAAAATAGTAAAAACACAAATACAACATCAAACACTAAAAACATAAGACCGAACCTGGCTGCCACCATCTCGCTTAAGACTGTCTGCACTGACTAGCAGTGGCTATCCTGAGTTCCCAGCCCCACCTGGTGATGCCGGATATTGAACCTGGGGCTTTCTACATACAAAGCAGGTGCTCTGCCATTGAACATCAGGAGAACCTCATTGCTGGATAAGGCCAAAGGGGGCCCATTGAATCCAGCAGACTTTTCCCACTGAGGGCACACTCTCCCTACCTGCCCTGACCAGCAACTGGAATTCAGATGCATACTGCCTCTGACAGTGAAGATAGAACAAATCACCCTCATTGATAGAAGCCATTGATGCTCTTTGTATTTAATCCTCTTTTAAAACCATCCAAGTGGTTGGCCATCACTATATCCTGCAGTAGTCAATTCCATAGTTTATGCAGTGTGCAGAGAAGGACTTTCTCTGCACCTATGCTGATTCTTCCAACATTCAGCTTCATGGGGTGGCCCCAAGTTCCTGCACTATATGCATTTCCTGTTTAGCCCTGGGTACCTGCAGCTTTGTTCTCCTGGGATGTTCTTTGCCACTGCTGTGGCAAAAGCTGTTCTTGGGTTGATCAGTATTTGCATCAGCCTGGGCCACACTCTTTTGGGTCAACTCAGGTATGCAGGAGCAGATGAGTAAACAGGCTCCGGGGACAATGGCATATCACATTGAGGGCTCTTTGCTCTTGGTCCAGGAGCCCATTTCCCCTTTCCTGCCTTTCTAACCTATCATGACCTGGTGCAGCCAGAGGTATGCAGCCTCAGGAGATCAGTGCAGGTAGAAAAAGAGCCAAGGTCCAAATGCAGTTGATGGTGTCTTAAGAGAGGATAGTGGTCTGATTCCAAGGAGGATTCCTTTCCTCAGAGACCAGTTTCTCCAAGTAGGGAACCAAGCATGGAGCAGTAGTAGTTATAGAGGGCTGCCCAGGCCACCTGTCTGACTGAGAAGACGGGGTTGTAGTACAGCAGCAAGGATAAGGTTGGAAGCTAGAGCTGTGCACAGCCCCTCAGATCTGCCCCACAGCTCTGATCTGAGGGCCCCCAATCAGGCCACCCATTCTACCCCCAAAGCAATTAAGGTCAAGGGGCTTACTAAGGTCTTTCTAAACCCCATATGGTTGGGAGGAGGTGGGTAAAGGAGGAGACACTATGTCACCTTATTCCCCTGGCTGTGTGGGTTCTATGGGGTGCTGCTCCTTAACGAGTGGCTTCTCCACATGTGGGGAAGCCACTCGTAAGGATGAAGCAACCAGCAACACGCAGGATTGAATCTTCCCAATGACCAGGTGATAAGCAGGAAGAGTCTATCCTGCAGGATGCTGCTTCTTCATGAGCAGCTTCACTGCATTCAGGGAAGGCATTTGTGAAGGAACAGCAACTGGCACTGCACAAATTGAAATGTGAGGATTCAGTCTTGTGTGGTGCTGCTTCAGGGGGCAGGAAGAAGGAGGGGACTGACAGAAAGGGAAGGTTGGGTTGCCCCCACCCCTATCTTAACCCAACTTGGTAGGCCCTTCCATTTCATGGTTTCTCCTTCCCATCTCTGCCTAAAACCCTGGCCTCCCTGAAAACCCCAGATCTCTCCGGGCCACCCAACACAGCCTGTAGTGATATAGGACTGTCTCAACCCAACTCACTTGGTGCCTGGATCCCTCCAAATTAGCCCAATGTGGCTAGGAGCTCATCCTAATCTGTTGTACAGCCCTACTGGAAGCATCTACTTCCCAAGAGTTTTCCAGGTGGTGGCAGGGAGTAAAGCCAGAGTTAAAGAACCCAGGCCTTGCATCTCATGACCTGTAGAAGCATCTCTCAATTCCCTGTCCATGAGGCCCCACACTTGAAAATCCAAAAATGTGTGATTTATTATTGCTGTTTCTGTTCATGAAATAACCCTTTCTTGACCAGGCTGCTTGATCCCCCAAAGTAAAAGCTATGAAACCCCCAATTTGATATTTTAATATTTTTACCATCTCACAACCCTCAATAGGATTGCCAACTTTTGAGTTCTGGAGTATGATATATTATGATAGATTAGATTAGATTAGATTAGATTTATATAGAGTACTGGGGCCCAAGGAATGGTCAGGGAATGTAGCCATATACTTTTCAGAACCATAGATAAATTCCAGAGCATAATGTTCTTCAGAAATATTTTGTAGAAGGCGTCAAAGGCTGAAGAACTGGGAAAAGGCCACAATGCTTGTGAAACTTGTTAATAAAAAATCATTTAGTAAGTTTCACTGTGCAATGGCTTCTGCTGTCATTTGTACACACACACAATTCCAAGCATGCCATCTGTATTTTCCCATTCACATTACTTATCCAGGTTTTACCTTCTTTTATCTCCCTGTTCCTTCCTTTTAAAAAAAGGTGGGGAACCTCTGGTCAGTGGGTCAAATTAGGATCAATAGGGGTTATTTCCTCCAAACAGTGGCACTCGCCCCACTGCCAACATCTTATCTGTACAGACATGACTGAAAAGGAACAGTTGGGATCCTTAAAGTGTGTTCTTTGGCATTTAAGATGCTGACAGGAAGCCATGTTGGGATTGGTTGCAGTACAGAGTTTCCACTTGGGAACTCCATAATGCAACCAATCTGTGTCCTAAGCAGAGCTTGCTGTAAGAGCTTCATCTGTGCAAACTTTTAAAGGTAAATTTCAGAAATCTTGCTCCATCAATCAGTAGTTGCACCTGCACTAGTGACCACACATCAGTGCTACCAGCCAGAAAGGCAAAAGGTGGCAAGTGGTCATATTCACAGGGATACTGATCCCCACTTTCCCCCCTGTAGAGCCATTTATACATCATTGTCATGCCATAAGTGGATTACCTAGCTCTGAAATTTTAGAACTACACAGATGCATCATCATTATCTTAATCACCATCGCTCACAGCAGCATTCGTCTAGTTCTTGTCCTCCTAAGTGCTTTACATGCATTTTGGGTTATCCTTATAACAACACAGTATGGTAGCGTTGGGACGCGGGTGGCACTGTCAGTTAAACCACAGAGCCTAGGGCTTGCCGATCAGAAGGTTGGCAGTTTGAATCCCCGCGTTGGGGTGAGCTCCCGTTGCTCGGTCCCTGCTCCTGCCAACCTAGCAGTTTGAAAGCACATCAAAGTGTAAATAGATAAATAAGTACAGCTCCGGCGGGAAGGTAAACGGCGTTTCTGTGTGCTGCTCTGGTTTGCCAGAAGCGGCTTAGTCATGCTGTACCCCGGAAGCTGTACGCCGGCTCCCTCGGCCAATAAAGCGAGATGAGCGTCGCAACCCCAGAGTCGGTCATGACTGGACCTAATGGTCAGACGGCCCTTTACCTTTACCTTTATGGTAGTGTTATGCACTCCACACTTCCATGTTCAAGTTGAAAAATTCAGAGGTAGAGCCTCTGAGTTTTATTTCCTTTGAATGAGAGTTGCTTTCATAATCTCTACTTATTTGCAAACATAAAAGCAGAACCCGTTGGAAGCAAGTGGGCTCCCCAAAACAAGCAACACAACCACCAATCCAACAGCAGATTCCCAAAGAGCTGCAGCCAAGCAAAACTGGGTTCAGTTTTAGCTAACACCAGCTGAAAACTCTCAGCCTTCTTTCTCTGCATAAATTCAAGCAATCTTCCCCCTTGGTTGCTCTCTGTCCCTCCTTACAGACAGCATCATCTTCCAAAGGCTAGAGCCATCAGGGAACATCCATCTCTCTTGATAAGTCCCTTGTCACCCATCATGTTTGTCAGGCAAAATGGCAATAGGCCCATTCAGGCTAATCAAGACAGCCAACCTTATAACACCAGACTAGAAGCATTATCTTCACATTACAGACAGGAGCTGGGGGCAGCAGGATAGATAGTGGCTTGCTTAAGGCCGCCCATTGAGTCAATGGCTGAGCACAGATTTTAACCAGGGATATGCAGCTTAGAGTTTATGCATTCAGTTGATGGATTACAGTATCTCTGTCTCAAAAGCCTATATATTGGTCTTGTTGTGCTGAAGGCAGTCCATCGGCATTTGAGTTTTCTGTACTCCAGCGATCTTCCTGGAGACCTATGTTTCTGGAGAAGATGCTAGCTCTTACATGTACCATGAACTCTTGTACTGTGCTGCCATAGAGCCACACGACTTGAATCCTGACATTTCATTATAACTATAAAAAGCCATTTTCGTATCTCCAAGAAGGGCGTCAACACACAATAAAGAGCTTAAGAAAATGTACGGTGAACCGCTTGACAGCAACAACACTCAATGACTTGACGACAGCCTTTGAACACTCACAAGCCAACTTTGCAAACACAGGAAAACTGCCGCATAAGGCAATGTGAGGGGGCTCAGACTCTGGGGAGGGGGGAGATTTGTCGGAAACAAAGAAGCAGCAGGGGGAGACCATTAGAGTGGCAGTCTCTTTACAGGCGAGGAGAGCGCGCGGCAATTGCATTTATGTTGGAGCCTCGCTTCAGAAGCTCACTCTACCTTGTCTTAAAAGCTGAAACAGTCATTATTAACACCCCTGGTGCCAAGTGACATTTGGCTCTTCGAACAGATGCTCAGCGTGAATAACTTGCTAAGAACGGGCAGCCTGCGAAATAAGAAATTATATCTGTGGGCCGGTGTGAAGGAGCGGCATTGCAATGGGTTTGCAATCGGCCCCCAATGCCACTTTGAGTTTGCTACATTTAAGTCACCCTTAATGGACAAATGCAGCTGAGCAGCTTCCGTTGACTCCTCTCGGATCTGAAGAGTAGCAGCTAATAAGCTCCAGTTCTATAAGAGACCCAGGCAAGGGCTCTTGTTCCTGTTTGCACAACTTGTTTAAAATAGGACACCGTCGTACTCTTTGTTATTGCTTCCCGAAGGATAGTCTTAATCCTTTTTTTCTTTCCCCTTTCTTTCTGGAGCGATCCACCTCCTGGAACAGTAATATTCTGTCGTGACAAGCAGGAGGTCAAACCATTAATAAATCTAGCTTTATGGTCTGGCTTTCCTGTTCTTGGCAAATTCTCCCTTGCTTTGATAGCCCATCTGCAAAATATATTTGCAATAGAACTGTGGGTCAGAACATTAAACACACAGGGACGTCAGAAAGCTATAATGTCACATCTAATCTTCCCTTGGCCATCCACAATGAAGGGCAATGCTTAAGCCAGTTTTTGCCAACCTGATGCCCTCCAGTTATTTATTTATTTATTTATTCATTCATTCATTTATAGTTTAATTAAAACTTTTCAACATGCAATAAAAAGCAGAAACAAAACAAGAAAGAAAGAAAGAAAGAAAAGAAAAGAAAAGAAAAGAAAAGAAAAAACTCGCAACTTAATGAACAGCTCTTAACTCATTGAAGTGCTGTGTGTCTCCCTGCTTCCATTGGCTGAAAACTACCTTCTGATTACGCTGTGGGCTGTGGCCATCGTCAACACAAAGGACAGCACTTAACCCATTAGAGTGCTGTGCATCCTCTCTGCATCCATTGGCAGCAAGAGAGGGAGGAAAAGCACATTTCGACAACACGGGGACAAGGGTAAAGATATGGTAGGATTAAAATGTGTCCTTGCTGATGTACTTCCAGTCATTGATTGCTGTCATAGGTTGGTGGCAGTAGTAAGAAAGAATGGGCAAGCATCCCCTCTGAAAAAAAATTACTCTTCCTTTTCCAGAACATTATTTCCATCATAGTTTTCCTATGCACAGCAGGGTGTCCTCCTCCAAACCTACTTTAACCTCTCTCTTCTTTTCCTCCACCTTCCCTTTTTTGGTAGTGCCATCCCTGGCAATAGGAAGGGCCTGCCTTTCCCTTCACACCATTTTTGTGTGATGTGTGACGGATAACTGGAATGGGTTTTGTTCCAAAGCCAGTAAAAAGTAGAAGCTAACTGTGCTATTGAAATGAGATCTGACAGTCACTTTGCTCTGGGTATCTTTAGAAGGCAGCTGCAGTTTGATTTTTTTTCCCCTACTGGAAGTTTAGTCTGTAGTTCCAGTGCTAGCTAAATAGATCTGCTGTGAACTCCTCAAAATGTACTTGTGTTTGGTCAAATTTTGGCCAAATTCTCCCATTTCATTGTGTCTCCATTTTCCAAGTGTTAAGGGCCAAACTGCACATGATTATTGTTGCTGTTATTTCTTTACTGCCCTTCCTCCCATAGCAGCCCAGGGTGGTGCAGTGCACAGCAACACTATAATAAAACATCAAAAAGCATAAATGGAAACAATGAAAAACTTCATTTTTAAAACAAAAATTCCAAATATACAGATCAAAACAGATTATTGCTATTATTGTTTGTATTTGCGCCCTACAGGGCAGTTTAGTGCACACCAATGCTAAAATGAAAAGATCACCAATCAACAGCTCAAAATGTCTAAAAACGGCCTATCGAAAGCAATAAACCCAAATTAGCATAGAAATCCACCATACCACCTGCTGGATCCTACGAGATACTTACATACAAGAAGTCTGGACAAATAGGCATGTGTTTAATTGATGTCTGAAGTTTATCAGTGTGGTGGCCAATTACAGTTCCCTAGGGAGGGAATTCCACAATTTTATTTACTTTATTAAATTTGTAACCCGCTCTTCATCCAAAGATCATAGGGCAGTTCACAACACAAAAATACAAAATGAGAACAAAAATTACATAATGAAAAGAAAAACAAACCAATAACCCCCCCCCCAAAAAAACATATTTAAAAGGATATAGAACGTTAATCAGCCAAAGCCAAAGGTCTGGTTAAAGAGAAACATTTCCATTTGGCACCTTAAGATAAGTACTGAAGTTGCCAGGTGACCCTCCCTGGGGAGAGCATTCCACAAACGGAGCAACTGCAGAAAAGGCCTATTCTTGTGTTGCCACGCTGCAGATCTTTCTTGGGAGGAGGCATGTGATGAAGGGTCTCAGATGAACTGCTCAGGACCATAATATCTCAAGGACCACCACTCTCCATATGAACCTACCTGGGCCCTGAGATAACCACCTGAGGCCCTTCTTCATGTGCCTCCCCCATGAAAGGTCCATAGGGTGGCAACACGAAAACAGGTCTTTTCTGCAATGGCTCCCTGTTCGTGGAACACTCTCCCCAGGGAGGTTTGGCTGGTGCCTTTGTTATAAACACACCTTTAGGCGGCAGGCAAAAATGTTCCTTTCCAACCAGGCTTTGGGCTGATTGACATCCAATGCCCTTTTAAATGTATTGTGGAAGGGAGGGGGTTATTGGGTTATTTTGTTCTTATTTTTATTATGTATTTTGTGGTTTTATATTGTGGTTTTATGTTGTGAACTGCCTTGAGATCCATGGGTATACAGTGGTATACAAATCTGATAAATAACAACATGATGGTGATTATGATCACAATTGGGGTGCCACCACTTGAGAAGGCCCTGTCTTCACAAGCCATAGATGGTGATGGAACCACAAAGAGTGCTTCCCTACTGATTTCAAATCACAGGTCAGTAGGTAGTGGAGAAATACCTTCTGCCAAGTTCATAGTGCAGCACAGTGGTAGGATTTCTCCCCCCCCCCTTTAAAGCAGAGGTGAGGGAAAACTCTGAATATGTTTCTAGCAGTGGCACTGTGGGAGGAACATGTAACTCTCCCCCAGCCCACATATCCTTTTCTTGATCAAAAACAGCTGTCTCTGTGAAGCTACAGGGGGATATTTCAGCATTAAGAAGGAGAATAGGGGAATATATTCTTTGTGTGCCTCCTCCACAAGAGGTCCAGAGGGTGGCAACATGAGAACGGGCCTTTTCTGCAGTGGCTCCCTATTTCAAACATGCTCTCCCCAGGGAGGTTCGGATGGTGCCTTCATTATACACCTTTGGGCACCAGACAAGAACGTTCCTCTTTAACCAGGCCTTTGGCTGATTGACATGATCCAATGCTCTTTCAAAATGTGTTGTGGAAGAGGGGATTATTGGGTTGTATTTGTTTATATTTTTATTATGTATTTTGTGTTTTTATATTGTAATTTTATGTTGTGATCTATGAGCATAGGGCGGTATGCAAATGTAACAAGTAATAATAATAAAAATAAAAATGTGTCAGTTGGGAAACAACACATGGGAAAGGGCTAACTTCCCCACCCCAGCAGTGATAGATTTTGGAACCCCTATTCTGCAGCTGCTTTTAAATAAAAACACTGGGAGTTCTTCTGAATAATGAACAAAGAAAGAAGTAGAGAAGGGACAGGCTGGCAATTTGCATACTTTTTCATGGATCTTTGGAAAAAGAAGGTAAAATATCTGGTTATCACATAAGGACAAGGATGGAGGAGAACTTTATGTTAAATGAATTTATACACGGATATATAAGAATTTATACATGGATATATATAAGGGATGCGGGTGGCGCTGTGGGTTGAACCACAGAACCTAGGGCTTGCCGATCAGAAGGTCGCAGTTTGAATTCCCGCGAGGGGGTGAGCTCCCGTTGCTCGGTCCCTGATCCTGCCAACCCAGCAGTTCGAAAGCATGAAGTGCAAGTAGATAAATAGGTACCGCTCCGGCAGGAAGGTAAACAGTGTTTCCGTGCGCTGCTCTGCTTTGCCAGAAGCGGCTTAGTCATGCTGGCCGCATGACCTAGAAGCTGTCTGCGGACAAACGCTGGCTCCCTCGGCCAGTAAAGCGAGATGAGCGCCGCAACCCCAGAGTCGTCCACGACTGGACCTAATGGTCAGGGGTCCCTTTATCTTTACCTATACATAGAATGTGGTGGCTCCAGTCTCCTTGAACTTTGCATGCATTGGGTGTACTTAGGGGTTGGTGAGATTAGCTCCTGCCACGGGTGCAAACCCAGGGGTGTGCAAAAACCATGCCTCTCTACTCTGGCACAAAGTGGCCAGAATCCTGCCCTGGTCACTCCTCCACTGTTTGGATGGGGGGACCAATACATCTCCTTGTCAAGGGCACAAGGGAGCTGAGATACACCTCTGATTGTCAGGTGTGTTTAAATTAATTTGTCAGATGTGTTTGATTAATTATATACAAAATTGAGAATGTCGGAGTTGCCATTCAACAACATCTGGGGAGCCCTGGATTCTGCCATCCCTGTTTTAAGACAGCTGGAATATTCTCAAAGGCAACAGCTTTGATCCTTTCTCTGTACTTAAACTAAATAAACGAAGGCTTTAAATGTCCAACCAGCAATGACAAATGTCGCACTCCTCTTTTACAGGCTCTTTGAAACTCTACAGTCACTCTTTTGGTCTGTGTTTGGTCTGCTGAACCTCTACGTCACTAATGTGAAAGCCAGGCATGAATTCACAGAATTTGTTGGGGCCACCATGTTTGGCACGTACAACGTCATCTCCCTAGTGGTCTTGCTAAATATGCTCATAGCAATGATGAATAACTCCTACCAGCTCATAGCAGTAAGTCAACTGATGAACTTTCTTTCTGATTTTCTTTGAAATATGCATTTTGTGTATATACCTGTGTGCAAGAGGGACAGAAAAGTGAGATTCTGCCTGGCACCCAAGATACCGTATTTTTCACTCTATAGGACGCACTTTTTCCCCTTCAAAAATGAAGGGGAAATGTGTGTGCGTCCTATGGAGCGAAGACGCCATAGCCCCGCGACCCTCTCCCGGCTGGAGAGGTGACACGCGGCTATGGCAGGAGCCTCTTTAGCCCCGCGCCACCCCTCCAGCCGGGAGAGCGTGCGCGGGGCTAAAGAAGCCCCCCGCAACCCTCTCCCGGCTGGAGAGGTGACGCGCGGCTATGGCAGCAGCCTCTCCGTTGCGCCTTTCCGCTGCTCCCTGACCTGCTCTTTGGGGCTGGTGGTGGGCTTCCCCCCGCCAGCCCCAAAGAGCAGGTCGAAAGGAACCTGAAGCCTGGAGAGCAAGAGGGGTCGGTGCGCACCAACCCCTCTCGCTCTCCAGGCTTCCAAGGTAGCCGCCTGAAGGCGACTGAACGCACCTTAAACGGCACCTTGTTTTAGAGCGGGAAAACAAGAGGGGGAAAATTGAAGGGGTGCTGGGCAGAGAGGGGGAGAATTTTTTTTCTTGTTCTCCCCCTTGTAAAACAAGGTGCGTCCTATTGTCCGGTGCATCCTATGGTGCGAAAAATACGGTACTTAAGCTGCAGGTTGGAGGCAGAAAAGTCACCACCACCCTTAGGGAAACAAGAAAGTCTGGATTCTTTATATCCCTTGTATCCCTTTGTAACACTGAGCAATTGACCCTTGAGAATCACCTGACTTCTGAAGCAAAGAGTAACATGGATTTCTGTTGCAAACTGCAGCTGAGAACGATTTATGATCCCACCATCCTCTGGCCAAAAGCAAGACGCCAAATAGGACCTCATAATTAAATGTATGCAGGGCTGGCCCAAGACATTTTGGTACCTGAGACAAACCACAAATTGGTGCTCCCTGCCCCACCAGAGAAGAAGGAGTGAGTGGAGATCTACATCAGAAACGTGGGGGGGGGGTCAAATCAACCTTACTTGGCAGCTGAAGTGGGAATCAAAGGCCATCACAGGACACTCTGAATAATGCAGCGCCAGTACAGAGCCCAGGAAACCCCCAAGGGCAGCTCCCATCATTTCTTCCCTGCAGCGGGAGAAAATCAGCAGCACCTCCTATTCGCTGAGAGGCCACTGTAGAGGTGGAATCGGGTGGGGGGCTGCTGAGGTTGTGACACATCCAGCCTTCAAGGAGCGTGCCGCAGCTCTTGTTATAGCAGCAGCAGCAGGAGCAGACAATGCTTTCCTTGCAGGCTGGATCTGCTGCCCCTATGGATCCTGTCACCTGAGGCTGTTGCCTCATGTTACCTCATGGGTGGGCCATGTATTTGCATGTAAATGTGCAGATAGAATATGCTGGAAATTCCTAGCTCATTTCCTGTGTTCTCAGATGACACTGTTCATTGCAGGGGGTTGGACTAGATGATCCCCAGGGTCCCTTCCAATTCTACTATCTTATGTTTGACACTTCTTAAAAATGGACAAAGAGAGATGCATTAGAAAAAGAGAGCTTGCTGCCGTAGGTACCTCAGCCATTGGTATGAGATGAGGTTTGCATCATTAATTACAAATGCCTACCAGTGATTTGAATGCTGCTCAACCACCCACTTAGCACCCGTCTGCCATGCTTCAGGCAGACTACTGGTTCTCTCTATCTCTCTTTCACACACGGCACTGCGTGAATATTCATGTGTTTATCTGTTCATTCATTAATGTATTAATTTAACAATGGAGAAGGGAAATCAAAACCAGGGATTGAGAAGAGGTGTTTTTTCATGGCATCACAGAAGTTCTGCCAGTCAGTGCTGATTACAATTGACTTCTGTTCTGGGGATTGAGAGTGTCTTGTTTGTTTCTTGGTAAGATCACAGAAGGTCAGTGAAACAGTGCAGCATGCAGTTGGTGCCTCTTATTGGATTAAGGGTGTGTGTTTCTTGGTAACATCACAAAAGGTAAGCCAGTCATAGCTGCATGCAGTTGGCTTCATTCCAGGGATTGAGAGTGTTTCTTGATGACATCACAGAAGATCAGCCAATCAGTGATGTGGGCTACTACTGCAAGCTCAAAGATACGTGCTGGTTGTTTGTTTGTTTTTGGGTTGTTGTTTTTTTGCCCACCATTTTCACTTAGAGAGGAGTAGAATATATTTGAACTTAACACAGTGAGACTTGCTTCTAATCCGTTATCACAGATATGTTATGCCAGGCTTCTCCCTATTATGAGTTTCTATACCAGGGGTCGGCAAACTAAGGCCCAAGGGCCGGATCAGGCCCAGTTGCCTTCAGGATCCAGCCCGCAGACTGTCCGTGGATTGGCATGGGGATTCTGTTCGTTCGGGCTACGCCTTTTTTCCCTATGCCATTCCATTCCCCCCCCCCCACACACACAACGTACGGCGCCTCCCTCCCTCCCTCCTCCTGGCTTCTCCCCACCCTGCCTAGAGGAGGAAGGGGGCTGGGCTGAGCTGGCTGAGCGCCATTTTCAGCAGCCCCTCTCCAGAGCCAGCCCTTTCGCGCCACTCATCTTCCCTCCGTGGCGGCCGCCTCCCTGGTGCTCCTGTGGGCCAGAGAGTGGAGCGGATGAGCTCGCTCTGCCTACCCATGAGAAACAGCAGTGACGGTGGCAGCAGCCCCAGGGAAGGTAAGTGCAGTGGCTGGGGGTGGGTAATGGGGAGGAGGACTACTTGGCCCCCCTCACCTCTTCTTCCAGCCCCCTCCGCCAGTGCTGCTTCTCCAACCTGCCACAAGGTCTGAGGCACAGTGGACTGGCCTGCAGCTAAAAAAAAATTGCCAACCCCTGTTCTATACCTACAAAGTCGCTTCCTGGAGGTGCTGCTAGTGCAGGGGTAGCCAATGGTAATGCTGAGTGGGACTGATGGGAAGTTGAATAGCAACATCTGGAGATCATCATGTTGGTAACCACTTGGGTAGAGAGAAAGAATCAAAAAGTACCTGGTGTGACTCTTCCCTCTTCCTTACTGGATGATTTTAGACAAGCCTCAGTCTCAGCCTTCCATCTGCAATATGGGGATAACAACACAAAACTCCATGATAGGATGGTAATTTTGAGGATATTGCTAAGATATTGTGATAATACATTTTCTACATGCTAAAAGTTATATATTATGAAATTTCCAATGAAACTCCAGAATAGCAAGCTCGACTTCATTTTCTTCCACAAGCTAGAGAATAGGAAGGAACATGAGTCTTGCAAGAGAGCTACCTGATGAGCTGTTCCCTAAAACCATCCTCATTTCAATGCCTGACGGCTTGCTTGCATACCTAAATGCAGAACTGGGCAAGGCATTCTGTACTCTTGGTGACTTTGGGCATCTGGCAGGACTTCAAGAACAGGCAAAATAAATACAATTCTCCCTCTCTCCCTCCATGTGACCTGGAAAGAGAACCTGGCTCTGATTCATTATAGCCCTGATGTTGATGTATAGGCAACCCTGAAGAGATGCTAAATCTTTGGAGAAAGATCTTTAAGCTCTTTGGAATAAAACAGAACATACACATTAAGCCTCTGTGGGTTTTAGACCTTGTAGAGTGATGATGGAAAGTTATCCCTACTTAAGGGATAACTGCAAAGGCACCAGTCCACATCTGTGTCTTTAAGGCAGGGTAGACTGAGTGGTATCTGTACAATTTTACTGGGGGCACTGTCCCTGCACTAGTTAGCAAACTTAAGTAGTTACTTGGTCTGATCTTCCCTGTTCTGCAGTGCCACCCTCATAATGGGCAAACAGTACTGCAGATTATCAACTAATCCTGACCTGAGTGCATTATTAGCAGGAGCACCCAACGAGACCAACAGCGGGCACAACAGCCAAGAAAGCAGTTTTTGCATGTGCTGTAGAGAGAAGTGAGGGGCAGATGGAGCTCATCGACCTGGGAAGGTAGCCCATCTAGAAGAAGGAAGACCCTGATCTGAAACCTCTGCTGCCTTGCAAGATATCTTCCAAGAGAAGAAAGGCTAAGGACAAAATCCTACACAAATCCGGAGTCCCTAAGATGGTTGGATGCTACCTTATATGCCACCTCCTGGCAGCTCCTGTAGCCAAGCTGTTGCCAAACGTATTGCTCTGCTTTCCTTTGGACCACACCCAGTTAGGCTGAGGGTAGGGGGTCTTGTAGTCTGGGCAGCCCAGGACCTCCATACACACTGCCCAGGCTTGCATACCGAGGCGGTCACTTTGATGCTGCTAACACAGGAGTTTGGCTTCACCCCCAGAGGCACACTCCATTGTTCTTTGAGACAGATGCCATCAACAATATGTGCACGTATTTTCCCTTTAAACAGAACTCAAAAGCTTATTCCCTATTTAAAGCCTGCCCTGTTTTGCCATTCTCTTCTAGTTCTGCATTCTAAGATCTTTGTCTACCTTTTCACCTAATGGCTGTTTGCAGGTTGCACATTGTAGTGATGGCACAGAGCGGCTGAACAAGACCCAATAAGAGAAGCAACCATAATAACCCCTGCATTGCTTAAGGGGAAAGGCAGCTTACTGAACTGCAAGATTTTTTCTCTCACTCTCCTTTTTGGACAAAGGCTATTTTAAACTTCAGTAGCCGTCTGCTCCCTTCAGGGCACCTTGAAGCAATGTAATTATTGAGCATTTCACTGCACCAACCTGTATTTATCTTCCCTTCTCATAGAGTCAAAATACAGTCAATATTCAAATACAGAAATCAGTGGCTAAGAAAGCAAAATTCCGCCTTATGCCGTGCTTCAGTGTAAACTGATACTGAGGGGCTTAGTCAATCAGCTGAGATCAGGTCCTGTAGTAGCAGTCCCAGCATCAGGATATCTCCTCACTGTAGACTTATCCACATCTAGCTTTTGCCCTACTCTTTCCAGGAACAGGGGCACACTTAAAATCTCTGTGTCCAAGTGGTTTGTTTGGGTTTTTTTCCTTCTCTGCAAAAACTTGCTCTTTAAAACTCAATTGGAACAAACGTCAATTCAGGTTACCTGTGGTTTGCCACTTGCTCCGATCAAACTTTAAAAAGTGTTTTTTCACAGGGAAAGATCCAGAACCAAAACAAAAAACACCCTCAGAAACAGAGCATCTCAATATTTTCAAGGCATGACAGAAATAGCTTTGCATTTTGAACACAGATGAAAATTGTCATGATGTCTAAAAGGACAGTGGGATTCAGCAGCAACAGTGCGCGTAATGATAAGCCTTCCGCAAGACTGAAGGCATTATTCCTTGATGTCTGGTTTGGCAACATGGGAAAAGGTTCTCTACGCTCCTGGTTACTCCAAGAATTCTAAGTGTGTGCCTATACTCATTCATAAAAATGCACTTCTTTCAGTGTTACCAACTGCAATGGATTCAGTTGGGCATTTTCTTTCTTTAGTGGCAAAGACATCAAATATGACATTTGCTGCAGTGCACCTATGGGGAATAAATTTGGGCTCTCATAAGAACATAAGAGCCTCCTAGATCAGGCCAGAGGCTCATTTAGTCCCGTATCCTACTCTCACCGATGCCCATGGGAAGCCCATAAACAGGCCACAAACACAACAGCACTCTGCCCACCTGTGATTCCTGTATTGTGGCCAATGCCTCTGACGGCTATTGTAGAAGATTGCCACTGCGGTTATGAATTTGCCCAATCCTCTTTTAAAGCCATCCTAACTGGTTGCCATCACTGCTTCCTGGAGGAGTGAGTTCCATAGTGTGCTGCCTTTTCTTTGTTAATGCTTTCATTTACCACGCGTGTTTGTGTCTATTTATGAACTGTCTACTTTGAGTGCTTTGGCATCTCCTAAATTGTTGGAGGAAATTTTTTAGTCTTCTCAGAAAGCTAAATCCATGACTGCTGTTTATAAATACTTTTTTGGCCCTTTGTAAAGCAGGTGTGCAGAAACTGGAGAGTTGCGGGATAAGGAATTAAAATATGCTGTACATGCTAAACAATAGAAAATTGTTTAGAAACTATAAGGAACGTTGCTTTAGATTTGTAACTGAGTCTGCTTCAGCTTAAAATTATGTTTTAGGTATATACAGGAAGGCACTGTCAAATACATATAGATACTGAAAATGCCTCATTGGAGCAGGGGATGTTGGCATGTCCAGTGATACATTCTTTTTGCTTTCAATATCTATTTTGTATTGGTGAAATCTTTGATATTTGCTGATGTTCAAGCACTTTTAAACTATATTCCTGTAGTATGGAGGTTAATAACACACCAACAAAAGTGGATTCTGAATTGCAAAAATGACATAAGGAGAACCTACTGGATCAAACCATTTCTGGTCCAGCATCCTATTCTGTGGTGGCAAACCAGATGCCTGTGTGAAACCCACAAGCAGGATTCGAGCACAAGAACACTCCTCGGCCATGTGGTTTCCAGCAACTGATATTCAGAAGCATACTAAATCTGACAGGTAGAATGTAGCCATTGGGCTACATTCTCCACCCTGACTTTGTCTAAGCCTCGTTTAGAATCATCCAAGTCAGTGGCCCTCACTGTTTCTATCATGTACTTAGGCAAGGCTTTCTCTTTATCTCAGACTACACACACACACATGAGGAAAACAAAACTGACCTTCCTTGCACGGTTGTTATAAGGACTGCAACAAATTTCTATGGACCCTTGAGAGCACCTTGAGAGTGTTGAGTATTATTCATTATCCGTGCCCAGAGAAGTGTGACATATTCAGAGGCTTCTAGATCCCTTTGTGCTCCTGAAGACACACACACACACACACACACACACACACACACACACACTTCATTCTTCCTGGTACTATCCAAGGGGCAGACCATTTTTTAAAAATAGTTAGCAAGTTCATAATTATATCCAACATACTCACCAATGCTTCCGACGTGTGAGTGCTGCATTTGCCTTCAGAATTTCCTCTGGGGCATCAAATACATGTCAAGCTGCGTCCTGAGCAATAGAAAGGTCTCCCTGTGCAATCTGGCTCTGCATACCTCACTGGAGTCTAAGGAGGCTTAATTGTTTCCCTGGGAGCATGAGGACGTCATGCATGTGATGATGAAGAACTGTCTCTTTCCTTTCCTTTTCCTTTTCCTGTCTTTAGCCTAACTATATCTCACCCGTGGACTTGAACTGAGCTTTTAATATTCACGGGCTGTTTGCTGAGCATTCAAATGCATCCAGGGGATGCATTCTGACTTTATACACTTGTGTTTTGCTTGAGCCCCACAGGGATAAGCAAATATGAGTTCTCTCTCTGCCTCTCTCCAACTATTTTATCAGAAGTGGCCAATTGTATTTTATTAATATTTGGCCTTGTTTCCAGGTTATGAAGCACCTCAAGCAAGAAGCCTTGAGTAGGTCCCTAACCTCATTCCCCTGTCCCGTCCAACCCCAACATGCACACACCACAGCATTGCCACCTCCTCACTTTGAGAACAAGAGCATAGAAAGTTACTTTTATACTGAGTCAGATCATTGATACTTCTAGCTCAGTATTGCCTCCACCAGCCTCCCCCAACTTGGTGCCCTCCAGATGCCCTGGACAACCACTCTCACCAACCCCAGCTGGTGGAGGCTGTAGTCCAGAACATGGATGTCACCAGGCCAGGAAAACATGTCACCAGGCCAGGAAAAGTTGGTCTACACTGGTTTGCAATGGCTTTCCAAGGTCTCAGAGATGAGACATTTGAAACCCAACCTGGCAATGTCAGTGATTGAACATACATGCATAGCAGATGCTCTACACCCTTTACTATTTTTGCTGCCTGTTCAATTCCCCAGCAAAGTGGTGGGCAAACAAGCAGAAGAGCAAGTGGTGGTGAAGAAGAGCAACAGCTGTCCCTTCTCTGGGAAAGGGGAGGGGGCAGGTGAAGGTGAGTGCCAAGAGTCCATCACTGGCACATCCCTGCATAGAAGGTGCCCCCCAGGTATTGCTGCTTGCTGCATCTCTGTTGGAAGAGAGCATTCAACCATGTGGGACCAGCGACACTAAGTGCCCAACATCTAAGTTGAGCGTAGTCAGGCCTCTGTAACATGGGAGACAGCTAATGGCACTCCTCTGGGGATTTGCAGAGAAGTTTTACAATGCTGTGTTTCCAGTACTTTTCCCCTTCCACTTCCCTTCTTGCAAAAGTCCAGTTTTAGGGGAAGTGGGGTTTGTTGTGCAAGAGCCCTAAATCAATGTTAATTGTACAACCTGAATTTGTCAGTACCCAACTGAATCCTACCAGAAAATAGCATCAGTCTCCAATGCTTTAACAATGTGCTCCATAGCCTTTTAACAAGGCAGCAGAGGTTAAGGATCAGAGTTTTCCTTCTTTTCCTAGATGAGTTACCTTCCCAGGTTGGCAAGCCCCATCTGCCCCTCACTTTCCTCCACAGCACGAGCAGAAACCACATTATTGACAGTTGGACTCACTATTGGGGGAAAAAGATGAAGAACAAGAAAAGATAGTGAGAGAAGTTCACCCTAAAATGCTGATGAATTTTTATGATGGCTTCTTTTTAATTGCCAACTGTTGTGGAAATGTGGAAAACAAAACTTGAATCTGGAACAATGAAGAACTGAGAGAAATGTTACAAATAAGAGGCTCTTTTGATCCATTTTTAGCTGGTTCTTTAGGAGAAAGGAAAATTAGACTCAGAGAGACTCAGCAAAACATTTTTATTGTATACATTAAAATCGCAGTCCCTAGCACACGCGCACACACATTCTTAGTCATGCTCACCAACTCTACACCAGTAGCTGATCAGGCCATGACAAGAGGACGGGTGGCAGGCATTGCAGCGCTGGGAACATGGCACACCTTTCCACTGGAAAGTCCCTTCTTTATAGACTTTCAATCAGACATTCCAGCTCTGGTGATTCACCACCATCTGTTCCTTGTCATAGTTGTTCATCATGTTCCAGAGTTCATCACATCATCATTCGTCAATCTTGCTCAACACCCATCCTTTGTTATCAGCCTGTTCATACGTCAAGTCTCAAGAACTCAGCACTTCTTCCCCACTTCACTTGCCTACCACAAGTCTTAATGAGACTCAATTTTAGAGTGGTGTTCTTCAGCCTAAAAACAGGCCTACACTCATTCCTTCATTCATATCATAAATGTCTAATGAATGTGATTATTATACTCATTACAGGAACCAGTATTGACCAAGATTTGCTCATCCTTACCAACACAAGCATCAGTCCCAGAATTAAGGTTGAAAATTCTCCAGGTTAAGCTGAAATTGTGGCAGAGTAGAAGACAGGACGTGTTGCTGAACAAGAAGCAAATGAAATAGAGGGACTCTTCTCCCCCTAATGGAAACTCACTGATAGCTCTTCTTCTGCCATTTGTGCTTGTAGCAATAAATTTCCTCTCACAGATATTAAGGGTGCTTTCCTCCCCGCCTGTGTGAGATGGGCCCAACCTGCTTGCATAGTTTATATGCCAAGTGACAGGCAAAATGGCATCCCAAGAGGCCCCTTTAATGACACGGTGGAAGCCAGCGTAGCCAGAGGAAGCAGCAGAGACAGCAGCCTAGAGCATCCTCTCATCCTCAAGTCAGACCTGACAAGCAAAATTAACGTTCTCTCTTGCGGCTGAATTAATTAAGCAAAATAAGATATAGAAGGCAAGCCAGCCCCTCCTTCATGCTTGCATTTTCCTTCACAACCTTTCCTTCCTTCTCTCCTAACCCTGAAAATCAGATCTATATAATTAAAGAGATTCGCCTGGGAAAGTGGCCAAATGCTTAAAAGAAATGCTAAAAATACAATCGACAAGCGGCGTTACTCTGCACCAGCTATTATTCATGATGCTCATCAGGGTTGCAGTAATCAAGGTGCTCGGGAGGTAATGGCACTTACAAAAATTTGGTCTGGCTACTGAGTAGCTGATGGCCACAATGTTAAGGAAAACAAAAGACCTGGCAGTTTGCAGTAAGACTCATAAGAAGAGCCTGCTGGATCAAGTCAATGGTCCATCTAGTCCAGCATCCTGCTCCCACAGTGGCCAAACAAATGTCTATGGGAAGCCACAAGCAGGACCTGAACACAAGAGCACTCTCCCTTCCTGTGGTTTCCACCAACTGGCATTCAGAAGCACTGCTTCCTCCATTCAGAAGCACTGCTCCCTCCATTCAGAAGCACTGCTTGCCTCCACACTTTTTTTTTGTCCCAGCACTTTCCCCTCAAAACCCCACTCTTTAATGCTGAATCAGAACAAACAGCAATTCCTGTTTTCAACAGATTGCCCTTTGCTCTGATTCAGTGGTAAAAAAGTGGGTTTTCGAAGAAAAGCACAGGGAAGTTCTCAAACATGGCCCTTTAAAGGGTGGGCATGCACCTAAAAACACAGCACAAAAGGAAGTCTGGATGAGCCCTCCAGAGTAAGGGCATGATCTCTTCAATGCAGGATAATTGCATTTTCAACATGTAGTTATCAGTGTCTGCTTCTCAATCTCTTTCTCCCATGGAACGGAGAAAGATCCTGGAAGATACTAGAAAAGAGGATAGATTAGCCACTCCCCATATGTGATTGCATGCTCACCAGCCCCAGCCAGCATGGCCAATGGTCAGGGGTGATGGGAGTTGCACTACAAATACCTGGAGGCCACTACTCCCATGAAACATTAGACTGGGGAAAGAAGGATGGAAATAGGCCTTTTGCCTTCCACCTTTTGGATTTAAATTGTTTCTCTGGAGACACTGAGGGCAAAGCCCATGAAAGAGCCGGTCAAGTTCTGAGTCTCGATGGTCCTATGGGCAAAATACTATCAGGAATTTGCTATAATGAATGGACAGTCTTATCTGACAGAGAAGGGACAGTGATATAGAGAAGATATATTCAGCTAATCTATTTCTCATATGAAATTCCCTGCTGGTGCTTTCAAAGCACCGCTTTTTTTGACCTGTGACCTTCACAGTGCTCTGATTTATCTGGATATTGCAATCAAAGCAGAACATATTTGAACTGAATTCGGACAAATCAAAGAGCCACTCCAGGCTTCTCCTGTCAGGCAATTTAATAGAAGAGATTTTTAAAAATCCCGCTCTATTCTACGCATGTGCCTTCTACCAGAGGTCCTCATTAGCTGTCGCTGTTTCATTTCACGGGACTGTTGGCTGCATATGGACAAATCTGTCAATTTTGACTTCTCTCAGGTTTTCATTTTTAAAGTCTTAGGTTCCATTCAGTTCAACGCATTCACATAGTAGTCTGCCTTTTTAAAAAAGATACTCAAATATTTGTATGCATTTTAATTACATTTCTCTCAAGAAACACCTTTCACACACTTTCATACAACTACTAATACAGCATACACATTTTTGCAAGCCCTAATAGAATCTGTTTTTGCATGTTTCTTTCACTAATCAATCCATTTCCCCTTACTACATTTGTGTCCACATTTTTTTCAATAGTAGACTGCATGGCAAAATTCAGGGAAGTGCTAATTTCAAACAATAGCTGTGTTTTGCTCTTCATATTGGTTCAGGAAGTGCAAATTTGTTGGGTTCACATTAAAATTTGAATTGATACATATTTTCCTCCATTACTGGTGGGGTTTGGGGAGGCTTGTTTTGCTTTTCATGCTTTTCATAACCTTAATATTCAACTACAGAATGCATATAGACAAGATGTTGGGGAACTAAAGCCCAAGAGAACCAGAAAGGCTACAAAATACAACATGTGGACAATACATTTACAAAACATTCAAAATCCTTACAAAATGGGCAGCACTGATCTTTCTGTTATTTTTACAAACTAAAATTCAGATATCAAACATCCCTCCTTTCTTATTTTGAGGGTGCCACACTTTGGAATGTTGGAGAATTCCGTGAAAACAGAAAAGGGAGCAGAAATTGTCAGGAATGGGAATCAATTCAGTGAATAAAATTAATATTCGCTGTTGTTTTTACTTTCAGTCCACAAACAATACCAGATTGATTATGTCTTTTCTCCTTTTGCATTGCATTTCCTCTGCATTAAAATGAATGGGGTGGAGTAATTTACATAATTTGTATAATGAATTCCATATGCTCCATAATTTCACCGCAGCAGACCGTGAGATGAATAATGTAGATTTTAGTAGAAGTCGAACTGGAAGAATGGAAACAGTGCTGCATGCAATCAATACAGGGCAGAATGGGAAACGATTTCTTCTACATCCCTACCACCCCTTCCCAGTCAACAACCTACAACCCCCTCCAAAGCAAGAGATGCATTTATTCATCAACCGAACCATTACCGTTGCCATTGTTGTGTGGAAGAATGGGGGTGCATGTGCTAATAATACTTTCAGGTGGCACCTGGCTTAATTTCTGGGAACTAAGAACATCTATACATACAAATATTCCCCCATGGAATTCTTTGCACAGGCTTTAGTCTCCTTTGGAGCTAACCTGTGACTGAGGTGGTGCTGTGGCTCCCATCTCATGGCAAAGGCTCAAGGTACAATGGTGGTGCACATTAAGAGCCATCCAAAAGCCCAGAGTGTCTCAGGTACTCAGAAAAGACCCCTGCCTAATCTTGTCTTCACTGCTAGAGAACTTGAACTTGACTTCCTGTTTCAGCCCATATCTTTAATATATATATCTGAGTAATATGTATATCTGAGTATATAGGCAAAGTAAAAGGCACAGCAGGTAAATTGCATGGCTAAGCACAAGATGAGAGAGATCTTGTTCCAATAAGCAGCATGCGCCTGTCTCTTTTATTTGAAGAAGTGGGTGGGCACAAGCCTTAGCATGACAGTTGTCTTGGGACTGGGCAAGCAAATGGGCATCCCTGAAAGTGGGTTGGGCCTGTGAGATTTGTTCACACCAGCACTGTCCTTGGAGATGGAGATGGAGTCAGTGCTGACTCAGTATCCAATTTATTCTCAGGTGCCTTCCCAGAAGGTGGAGACTCCTTACAGACAGGAGGAGGAAACCATGGCAGCTCCACTTAGGAGGTACCCTGACAAGAGGTGTCCAATAGCACAAGGGAGGGATGCCTCTCTGCTCACCTGCTTAGACCCTCCAGGGGATGTCCAGTTGCAACTACCTGATCTCCTCCCACTCTGCCTCAGGATCTGACAATGTCTGAGGCTTTGGAGATCCATTGCCAGTACAAATTTGCAAATAAACTTTACTACCCGCAGGCAGAAAAGATACCTCGACCCAATATCTTTTCCCCTGAAAGGGGAAAAAGCAAAACATTTTGAGAGGGCATTTTGAAAAGGAGAAATCACCTGCAGGGAAAGGCTTAAGTATTCCCCCTCCTTATAGCCACTGCAGATTTCTAGCCCCTTGCCTCTTGACAATGGCATTTGAACAAGTAAGAAACCATTAAGACAAATCATGTGAGATGAACTGTGGGTCTCCAGCATCCTTTCTAGGTTGGCCTTCGAGGACAAATCATGAGATAGGTGTTGAAAGCATCAGGGACAATCAGAGTAGCTGGTTTGACATTTTGCACACTTGGAAATCCAATCCAAGTTGGCTCTTATGAACTTTATTCTTTTGAGGGAGAAAAACCTACAGTTGCAAAAGCAAGGGAATGGGGAAAATTCCACTACACATAGAGAAGACAGCATTAAGAGTCAGGGATTTGCTAAAGGATGTGTTGTGAATTCTGCTGTCATTTCTTCACAATGAAGGAAAACAGAGGAGAAATTAGCATTTTGTGTGCGCATGGTATTTTTTTTTTTAAAAAAAATGTAACAGACTGACTAACGCTGTCCATTGTTTATGCCTGAAAGAACTAAGATAAAAATATCTGAGTGACAGCTAGGAAAAAGTGTGATGATGGTCATGGGACAGAGTGGGGATGTGGTCTGCAGGAGCTTGGAGAAAGGTTTCTAGAATCAAACCTTGGGATGATGATAAGGTCACCACGGAAACAAGCCCATAGTGCAGAATATGTGCAGTAGGTTCAATGGTTGTTGTTCTTTTAAAATCAGGAAACTGAGCAACCTTTACAGAAGGAAGTCAGCATGCATTTGTCCATGTTTGAATGCTAAATAAACATATGAACTATGGAAGGGATGGGATAACTTTTTCCCCTATTGATAACCACAGTCCCTTGGGGGCCATCTGTTGGGTCCAAGACCTGAAAGCAAGTGGGGCAGGAGCCAGCCATGTGTGGGCTCCTTCTCCTCTCTCTCTCTGCTAGCCCTTCTCCCACTCTTTCTCTGTCACCTCCTTTCCCACCTGCATGAAATTAGTCCAGGGATTGCATACAATGACTGGGAGCACTGCAAATCACTAACTGCTGATATATGACATATAATGCATTTGAGAGGATAGGGTACATCTCACTGTAACAACAAATGTTTAATGTTGCAACATGCCCTGGCGCCTTAGGGCAAAGGGCAGGTAATTGACAATAATAACAGCCATAATTCAGCATTGTTCAGAAGTTTATTTCTGTCTTAGGAGAGAGTTGTATTCTCCCATTCTCCCATGCTGTGGAAGCTGTCATGAGAACCATCTGCACCACAGAATTTACCACTCCTAGTGGAAGGATAATGCAAATGAAATGGTTGGGCACACATGCAACACTGCAGCATTATATGTATGTATGTACACAGTGTCTGTACAAATGCTTCAAGATGTTTTGCATGTAGTGTTTACCCACACATATTAGAAGAACACTGCAAAAAACTAATCATTGTATAACCATCTGTACTGGCCCCTCAATATTGCTTTTTTTGCAGTGTTTTATCAGTATTAACATGTGCATCAGTAATAGAGGGAAGTAAAGATTGAAGAAATGAAAGAACATAAAACTGCAGCAAACTGGTAATTTACAAAAAACAACAACCCTAAATGCATTCGTTTCACTTTAAAACACGTTCTTGCAAAAATGTATAAACTTTTGTTGAAATTTGAATCAGAAGAAAAAGGGTTAATGGGTGCATGATTAAATGGGCAAAAAAGGAACAGATGGAACATATGTGGAATAAGGGGTTAAAATTTACGTTATGTTATGATCATAAAGAGAAGTTTTATAAAATGTTGTTATCATTGGTACTTAGCTCCTGAGAAATTATTTAGAATGTACAGTGGTGCCCCGCAAGACGAATGCCTCGGAAGACGAAAAACTCGCAAGACGAAAGGGTTTTGCGGTTTTTGAGGTGCTTTGTAAGACGAATTTCCCTATGGGCTTGCTTCGCAAGACGAAACGTCTTGCGAGTTTGTTTCCTTTTGAAGCGGGAACTGGGCTGGCAGGGAGCGAGCGAGGGAGCGACCTACCTTTTCCAGAGGGATCCTCTTCTGGAGAGGGCACAGAGGAGGCAGGTGGGCTGGGATCCAGCGGATCTGGCTGGGTCTCTGTGCTGCCGCCGCCTCTGCCTCTCTCTCTCTCTCCCCCTCCCCACGTGGCTGCTCCATTTTGCCCTAACTGCGCGAAGGCAAGAGGAGGCGGGACAAAGGAGGAGGAGAAGGAGGCATCCACTGCGCTTGGGCCGCCGCGAAGGTGCCTTTGCGGGGGTGGGAAGAAGCCGGGAGCAGCTGCCGAGACTGTGGGGAGCCCGGCGGCGTGGCGCAAGGTAACGGGGGGAGCAAGGGAGAGTCCGCGCCGGGCGCTTCGTGCGTCCGCCCTCGGTTCCTGGGCTCGAACTTCCTTTGGCACCTCGTGGAGAGAGAGGGAGAGGAGCGGGCTGGGGCTTTGATGTGGGACGCGGTTTGGCGGAGCGAAGACGCGGCAAGGCTTGGCGACAGAGGAAGGGGGGCTGTTTTCGTGGGGAGGTGGGAGGGGGTGTCTTTGCCTCTTCCCGGCAACAGATCCTCCAGGCTGGAGAAACTCCTCCTGCTGGGGAGCGACCTGCTTTGTGCTTTGCCCACTATCCCATTATAATACAGTACCAGGGTGCATCCGTGCTTCGCAAGACGAAAAAATTCGCAAGACGAAGAAACTCGCAGAACGGATTAATTTCGTCTTGCGATGCACCACTGTATAAAGATGTTTCAAATGTTTGCTGGAAATGCCAATAACATGAAGGAACATTTTACCATGCTTGGTGGATGTATAAAAAGGCTACAAAACATTGGATACAAACACATACATTGATACAGCAGGTTTTAAAGGTTAACATTCAGTTGAAGCCAGAACTTTTTCTTTTAGGGTTAATGGATACACAACTGGAAAAGGACTATGAGAGATTATTTCAATATATGTTCACAGCAACAAGACTGTTATATGCCCAAAGATGGAAAGATACCGCCCTACAAACTATGGAGGAATGGCTGATAAAATTATAGGATGGCAAAAGTAACACTTTTAAGTAGAGAAAAATCATTATTGTCATTTATTAAGGATTGGAAACTTCTTATGGACTTTTTGCAGGACAGAGAAAATGAATTTGTAATATCTGGATCTGAAGACTGAAAAAATATTGGCTTATAGAAAATAGAATTGTTGGATGTTAATGAGTGAATACTATGTTTAGCTTCAGGACAGAGAACCAGAAGTCTTATCTTTTTTATTTATTTTTTCTCTCTCTCTCCTTTCTTTCCCTTTCCCCCTTTCCCTTCCTCTTTGCTTCCATTCCTTTTTAGATTAAATTTTAAAAGCATTTACAGTAGTACCTCACAAGACGAATGCCTCACAAGACGAAAAACTCGCAAGACGAAAGAGTTTTTCGTTTTTTGAGTTGCTTCGCAAGACGAATTTCCCTATGGGCTTGCTTCGCAAGACGAAAAACGAAAACGTCTTGCAAGTTTGTTTCCTTTTCAATGCATTCCTATGGGAAACCGTGCTTCACAAGACGAAAAATTCGCAAGACAAAAAAACTCGCAGAATGAATTAATTTCGTCTTGCGAGGCACCACTGTATTTTGGGTATGAACTTTGGTATATCTTTCAACGAGTTATCAATAAAAATAGATTTTTAAAAAAAGGAAATCAGGCTAGGTAATCTGGAACTCCACAGTCAGGGGGAGATAGTGGGTTGAGGAGAATTTCAGAAATTTCCATATGTTGTGGATTCCAACTCCCATCAGCTCCAGCCCCCCTGGCCAATAGTCAAGGATGGTGGGAGTTGTGCTCCAACAACATCTGGAGGGCACAAGGTTGGGAAGGTTGTGGCTTTTATTATGTCATATACAGTGGTGCCCCGCAAGACGAATGCCTCGCAAGACGGAAAACCCGCTAGACGAAAGGGTTTTCCGTTTTTGAGTTGCTTCGCAGGACGAATTTCCCTATGGGCTTGCTTCGCAAGACGAAAATGTCTTGCAAGTCTTGAGATTTTTTTTTCGCTCCCCCCCCCCTTTATCTAATCTGCTAAGCCTTTAATAGCCTTTAATAGCCTTTTAGCAGCTAATCCCCTAAGCCTTTAAGCCTTTAATAGCCGCTAAACCGCTAATAGCACTAATCCGTTAAGCCGCTAATAGGGTTGCTTCGCAAGACGAAAAAACCGCTAGACGAAGACTCTCGCGGAACGGATTAATTTCGTCTTGCGAGGCACCACTGTACAAGCATAACCTCCAGGGCCATTCTTAATATTCAGCCAGAGAGGTTGTTGTACAGTAGCTTAGGGTGTGGGCAATTCGCTGTCACCAAAAGCTGATAACAACTTTGCCACTATTGTTTTCTTGACTTTCTCTCCACACCCAGGACCACGCAGATATTGAATGGAAGTTTGCACGCACCAAGCTCTGGATGAGTTACTTTGATGAAGGTGGCACTCTGCCACCTCCTTTTAACATCATCCCCAGCCCCAAGTCCTTCTGGTATCTTTGCAAGTGGATCCACAACCAACTCTGCCCGTCTCAGGACCCAGAGAATGATCAGAAAAAGCATGAAAACCTGAAGACATTCACGGTAAGGAGACAGTCCCTGCAATCACTCTCAGGAAACTCTGCTTTGTCATTTGGTTCTTTGCTTTTGAATGGCAGGATGATATTGTAAGTAGGGATGGGGAAGAAATTTTATTCAGTTTGCGTTTAAAGGTGTATCTCCCTAAGATGCAGTTTATGAAACAATATGAGAACTGAAACATAGCTGGTATCCGAAATCTGCAATTCTTCAAAGTTTGAAAGACAGTTCTCCAGCTCAGTAATGTGTACAGTAATGCACTCATTAAGGTAATGTGTGCATAAAAATGCATATATTAGTGTACATAACATACAAAATGCAGTGAGGTTTAGTGGTTAGGGTGTTAAACTAGGACCTGGGAGACCAGGGTTCAAATCCCCACTCAGGGCTTTTCCAAACCTAACTTTTGCAGGGGTCCACACTTTAAAGCTTTGTGTCCGAGCACTCTTTTTTTGCCCCAGATCTGTACCCACAAAAATCCGCTCTTTAAAGCTGAAGTGCAACAATCACTTGCTCTGATTCAGTGGTAAAAAGTGGGTTTTTGCATGTGAGCTGTGCCTGGAAAGAGAAGGGCAAAAGGTAAGCAGATAAGCCCTCATTTTGGTAGCTTGCACCCAGTTCTCCAATCTGTTAAGGTCATTTTGAATTCTGATTCTGTCTTCTGCAGCATTAGCTACCCCTCCCAGTTTGGTGTAATCTACAAACTGGATGAGCATCCCCTCTGTTCCTTATTCCAGGTAGTTTATAAAGATGTTGACCAACGATGGGTCCAGGACAGGGACCCTGTTGTGGCACTCCACCTGTCACCTTTGCCCAGAATTAGGAGGAACCATTAGTGAACAGTCTAGATTTCAGCCAGTCAACCAGCTACATATGATGTGAACACTGGCTTCATTGGCTTCAAAAGGGGGGTCAGATTCAGAGGCTGTATACACACACACACACACACACACACACACACAGCCCTGTTGTGGGAGGACCTGACTTTTGAAGAAGAGCTGTAGCACAGTGGGTGGGAGGACATCTGCCTCACATGCAGAAGATCCCAGGTTTAATCCCCTGTCTGAAACCCTGGAGTGCTATTGTAGACCAGACTGAGGTAAGTGGACCAATAGTTGTGCCTCACCTTTACGTGTACCCAGGACTTCCATCAGCAACTAGCTAACTAGTTCTCATCCAGTGGGGCTCTTTTTGACAAATTGCTTACAGCAAAAAAGTTGAAAATATGATGGTCACCTGTTTAATATATATGCGCCTCTTTCATTTCAGGAACGTCATGCTGACAACTTGATTCAGAATCAGCACTATCAGGTAAAATACATTAATTGATGAAGCAGTTTATTTGCATTTCCTTGCTCTGCAATGAGCTTAGAGCCAAAGAGTTTCTTTATACTTTGCAAAAAAATTGGGTGTGGCCTGCAGATTTTTAAGAACTTCCCCCTCCCCCTATTTAAATGACAAATCTAACATGTGCAGCAACACCATATCATCAACTGCTTTAGAAGCATTTCTCTGTTCCAGTAGAGGTTTGTCACATAGTGGGGTCCTGCAAATAATAATAATAATAATAATCCAAAGCTCCCATGGGTAGGCAGAATGAGTTCCCTCATTGTTTAGATCCAGGTTATGACTTTCTGTTATACTTTCTTTTGGCATCCGGTTACAACTACAAGGAGTATTCTTAGTTCGTGAGAGTTAATGCAAAAGTGTGATGATATTCGGTTTGCATTAAAATCTTAGTGTTTCTAAAATTAGACTGTAGAACTGAGTATGTGCAGTTTGCAGCAGGTTTCAGGTCACTTGGTTCATTACATCTCTTTACCCATGTTCATTGGCAAAACACTGCAAAAAGCCGTCTGGCTGTGATCATGCAAACCGCAGAGGCATGTACTGGTAAATAAAGAAGTATTTTTTTATTATAGCAGTCTAATGGTGTAAACTCAGTGGCCAGGAAGGAGCAGGGTCCAGGTGCTCTTGCAAGACAAAGGAATAGCAATGATTTATCTGGTTTGAGAGCAAGGCCGAAGACTCAGGAGGACAAGATTAGTAGCAAGAGTTCCAAGACTGCATGGGAGCTGCAAAGCTGTCCAAACAAGTTTCTCCACCTTCCATGTGCACCTTCTGCACAAACCCTGTTCAATGTACCAGAGTCGTGCTATTAGAGCAGGGATGGGGAACCTCAGGCCCATGGGCTGGATGTGGCGTTTCAGACCTCTCTACCTGGTTCTTGGGACTCTCCCTAAGTCCCTCTGTCCTCTTGCCTCTGACCCTGATCACCACAGGTATGTGGTCCTTGAAGGGTTCCCCATATAGCATCTGCATACAGAACAAGGCCTTGAGGATTTGAGCGTTTTCCATCATAGTTTTTCGCAACCCTGAATTGCATTTGTAGCCTGTTTGGCATCACTAATTCTTCCAATTAAAAGATTTACTAAGATTAAAGGATTTACCATGCCATCAGCTCAAACACATTATGCTAGATTTTTGAAAATAACCACTGAGATATCAGAAGCTCAGATACACTTTTAGATGTGGCTCCTTCTCTGTAGCTGCAACAGGTTGGAGTCTAGCTTTTGCTTGTGGAACAACCTAGGAGGAACAAAACATCCATCCTGGCCTGGCCTGTTTTTACTGTTACTCATGGGACTGTATCGGGGGAAAGGCTGTAGCTCAGTGGCTAGAGCATCTGCTCTGCACCCCAAAGGTCCCAGATTCAACCTGCAGCATTCCAGACTGGGAAGGGCTCCCCATGTGAAACCCTGCAGAGCCACTGCCAGAGCTTAGTGACCAATGGTCTGACTCATTATAAGGCAACTTCCTACATTATTTTGCATTCAAAAAGCAACACTTGAATAGGGAGAAGTAGAGAGTGATAGGTTGTGTGGGAAATAGTTTGCCCCTTACTTCTGGGTCCTAAATAGAGTTGCCAGGTCAGGTGCATCCCAGACCCTAAGATTTCATGACCCCAAACTGAGACCTAGGAATGGCCACTGGTGATGGGCCCTGGAAACAGAGGTTAATTGGTGGTGAAGTGTAGGAGGGAAGACACACACAACCCAGAGTATCTATGCACTGTCTTGCTTTTTATCAAAGGCACTCCCACCCAGTTGGAGGGGGCCAGGCAAACTGGAGATTTCAGGGACAACTTGAAGTTCCTAGCCACAGTATTTAACTCCCTACACTTGAAATCCTGAATGCTGAAATATATGTGGCGAGATGTGGCAGCTGGATCCTGAGCTCCCCCACTCCCTACAGGCCACTCATTAAAAATACTCTTACTGAATTTTAACAGATACAATACATGCAAACAAAACTTGGCAACAAATTAGGATTTACTGAAATAAGACGTGCTCTCTTTCTACAATAAAGAGTTCTGACTAACATTTTGTGCATTATTTATAATCCTACAATATGAAAACATGCTGTGCACCAATTAGTTTTACAAATGCGAAACCTGCAAATAACCTCTCCATAAAGCATCTGGGATAGTGGTTATTGTAACAGAACTCCAACTCACATATGGCAAAAAGCACCCCAAAAGATTTCAAATTTGTCCTTTTTTTGCAGCTCTCTGCAGGCCATTTTGACAGGTAGTCAGATGCTCACCTGGCAGTCATCTGGCTTCACCAACATCAGCAGGCGATGGCTCATAGACAATTACAACAAGCCCCATTTGGAGCATGGACTGGGACCACTGTACTACTACCAACCCCTGCAGGGCTTGCTGTCAGCAACTTAAAGCAAGCCCCACTTTGGGTTGGAATCAGGCATACTACAGAGTTCCCAGTTAAGAACGCCTTTATGTAGCTGACCATCGAACAGCTGATAAGTTCTGACAGGAAGCCTTGCCTGTCAAGGAAGGGCACTTTAAGGCTCCCAATTGTTCCTTTCATGTCTTTACTTGATTGCTGGGATGTGGGTGGCGCTAAGGTGTAAACTACTGAGCCTTGGGCTTGCTGATTGGAAGGGTGGCAGTTCAAATCCCCACAACGGGGTAAGCTCCCATTGCTCGGTCCCAGCTCCTGCCGACCTAGCAGTTCGAAGGCACATCAAAGTGCAGGTAGATAAATAGGTACCACTCCGGCAGGAAGGTAAATGGTGTTTCCGTGCACTGCTCTGGTTTCACCAGAAGCGGCTTAGTCATGCTGGCCACATGACCCAGAAAAACTGTCTGTGGACAAACATTGGCTCCCTCAGGCAGTAAGGCGAGATGAGTGCCACAACCCCAGAGTTGTTCGCGACTGGACTTAACTGTCAGGGGTCCTTTACCTTTACCTTTTTTAGTCATGTCTTTACTTGATCTGTGAACTCACATCACATCATATGTGAAGCAGATGGGTGTTGTTTGCGGAAAATGGGCTTATGGACCAAGTTAGGATTTCTGCAAGGCCTAATTTGGAGCACAGGCTATAGGTTCAACATCTACTGCCATAAGATGTGATAAGAGATAAGGATGGGGAAGAAAGTCTTTACAGCTAGTCAATCTGGGAATGTAGCTCATCTAGAAGAAGGAACACTTTGATCTTAAACCTCTGCTGCCTTGCGGGATATTTTTAGGAGAGGAAACGACTAAGGAGTAAACGTTACACAAACCTGGAGTGCAGTCCCTAAGATGGTTGGATGGACCCTTGTTTGCCTTCTTCCAGCGACTCCTGCAGCCAAGCTGATGCCAAACATATCACTCCACTTTCCTTTGGAAATATGCTAGGATTACATTCTGCTGCTTAGTTTCTCACAGACCTTTCACATTAAGACTAACAGCCTTCATATTTGCACCTAATTCAGCCCATTAATCAGTTCTCATAACTAATTAATCCATATTTAGAAATATGTAGGATCTAATTATATTTCAAATCATATTTCTAAATATATTTAGAAATATATAGGATCTAATATATCTCAAGGATAAATATCTAACATATATGTTTAAACTAGAATTCAATAGATATTAACTATATGTAGAAACTGTTTCCCAAACAAACACTATGCCTTAAAACAATAATTATAAATAATAATATATAAATAACAAAGATATCCCCAGTACATGTTGGTTATTGAAAGGGAAGAAATAGATGTAAAATCAGAATCAATGTTGATAAAAGGGAAGGTATGAGATTAATGAAAGGGAGAAAATACAGAAAGTAAGGGGGAAGGGGGGAAATAATTACAAAACACACGCACTCATGCACACTCACACTCACTTGCTTATATGAAGCAACAAAAAGGGGAAAGAAACAAGACTAAACTAAGTAAGTGGGACTCATATAAAAAAAATGACTTAAAATGAAAAGGTGGGAAAGAAAAAAAGAGGATGGGAAGGATAAAAAAGGACTTCTTGCTTGAATCCAACTTGTAACAGCTCTTTCCTTTTAATAATGAAAATTATGATTCATTCATATCAAAAAGAAGACGAAGAAGAAAAAATGCTGTTGACATCATTCTAAGATGGTAACCAAGGGGGGAAAAAGGATTTCAGTTTCTTATTAGCCTTAGTGACTTATTTTTATTATTTAGCTAAAGAAGGGAAAAAGAAATGAATGAATGCTATAAAGTCACAGTTGTTAAGAGAAAAAAAAGAGAGAATTGAAAATTGGACATCATAAAACCTGGATAAATAAAAATCTTCTTGTGCTCAGTTGGTAGCTCTACTTGGCAGACTTTTTGCAGTTAGTGCTTGGATATAGGGTGCTGCATTCTTTGGTACTGTAAATTTGTATGTTTCCTTGCCCCTTCTGACACAGAAAATAGCAGGGAATCTGATGTAGAACTGCAGATTAGCTTCTATTGCCAAGCATCTTGCTTGGAGGAAACCACATCTTTGATCTGCAAGTTGTTTTGTGGATTCTGGAAATACGGAGATTTTATTCTTCTCCCAAATTAGTGGCGTTTCTGAGGACTGTTCACGTGCCATTCTTATAACGGGGGGGAGCTTGTCATCTGGGCAAGCCTAGGACCTCCATACACACTGCCCAGGCTTACGCCTTGAGGAAGTGACTCCAATGCTACTAATGCAGAGGTTTGACTTCACCCCCAGTGGCACACTCCATTGTCTCTTGAGACAGACGGATGCCAACTAAACCCAATTTACACCTCCGAAAAACAATGCCTGAACCAAAAAACACAGTTGTCCTTTGAAATCTGCACTCCTAAAGCATGTGTATCAAAGGAAAGTACATGAAAATACATGTATTGGTGGTGGAAAAGCATATAAAATGCATTATGTTAAGAAAATTGCTTCTAATCTAGTATATTAAAAGAAACACACTGAGGACTTTGTTATGGCGAACTCAGGCATTAATGTGTGGCAAAGTAAATTTAAGACTGGGAAAGTGAGAAACCTGAGGATAACTGACATATTCACCCACCCCTATTGGTAGTGCCAAGGTGACTTTTTAAAGGGTAACATAAATTCATGGTTGCGCTTCGAGGCCCCCAAGCCCTTCCCCTGAAAATAACTTCAAACTGACACGTAATTTTAGTTTAAGTTATTGGGCAAAATTCAGGCCACAACTTTATTGATTACAGCAAAGTGAGCGGTGTTGGCTTAGGCATTGGCAACAGACTATAACTGACTCCTGCCTCTCCGGCTGGAAGTCTGAAAGGGTAAACACCAAATGAGGGAGCAACATCGATGAAGACCAGCAAAGCTCACCCCGGGGTTCCTGTGGTCCTGGCATGGCCCTAGCCCCTCAAGTGGACTTTGGACGAGATCCAGGACCCCCAGATTCCTTTACCGGAATACCTTTATTCATGGAGGGGCAGGTGATGGCCGCACCTCCCCTCCCACACACTTCAATAAGCCAATGCCTAACCACCAAACCTTACAAAGTTGTGACGATTGCTAAGAGGGTAGGCAAAAACCAAGTGGCTACATCCAATCTGCCAAATGGAAAAAATTCCTACCCAGCCCCTGCTCCAAAGCAGGCGACCCAATCCAAAGCAAGGCCAAAGCAGTAGCACCTAAAATTAGGGAGGGAGGGCGGGTGTTCGGCAACGCAATGCAAGTACCCCCAGTTACACCACGCCGCTGCTTTTATAGGCCCCAGGAATCACGCCAACTGCCCCAATTGGCCCAAACAACCTGGCATGATCCTGGGGTCCAATGGTTAAGGCTTGGGCCATGCCCGGCAACAACTCTCCCAGCGGGGGTGACTTAGGGGTCCACGCGCAACCAAGACCCTTGTTAAGGAGGATCCCATATATCAGGTGACATCAATGTCAATACCTAAATGGCACTCCCATATTCAAGGTCAGGATGTCTCTACCACAGAATTTTTCAAGTAAAAATGTGGGTCATTACCTTAATATCCTGCTTGCAGTGATGGACTATTTGGATGTTCGTCTCATCCAGCAAAAATATACTTATCTTATGCTCAGAACATATTCCACACCTTTCACAATTCCACTCCTATGCAATTTTATTCAGAAGCAAGCCCAACAGATTTTGATAGCATTTGCTTCCTAGTGACTGTACATATGATTGTTGCAGCCTCAATGAGTGTGACTTAACAAATGCAATAAACTGTGCTATATCCTAATGTAAATTAAAGCACTTAGTTTGCATAGTAAGTTCATTTGACAAAGTAAACCAATAAGATAACTGAAGGGATAAATCAGTTTCACAAAAAACTGTAAGCATATTCATTAATCATTTATATTAAATTACTTAAATCGCTCTAATAATCAAGGTTTTTTTAAGCTTGTATAATAATTTTTTTGCAGTGCACCCAGTTTATTTATCACTAGACTCACAAATCAATTAGGCATTTCAATTAATGTCCATCCCATTAACTCGACAGCCCTAGTTCAGTCTTTACTTGCAAGAATTACTGCAGTTAATTTGGCATGTTTAAGGTGACTTACAACATGAAAAAATACATAACTACAACACAGGAAAAGTAGTCATAAACAATAAATAAAACATTAAAAAATACACACAGCAAATCAAAAAATTTCCACGTAAATCATATGATACAAAATAAAGATATAAAAATTAATATCAATAAAAGCAATAACACACATCCTCAACAAAAACCCATAAGCAATTCCCCAGCCCAAGAGTCCATTCAACAGCCTCAGCTTTTGTAGCTGGAGTCAGTCTTGGCCCTGCCCTTCCAGGCCTGGTGGAAAAGGGCCTTCAAAGCAGGGGGCAGGTCTTCCAGGACCCACAATCAAGATGGTCTCTGGCTCTGTATGGTGTCCCCTTCCAGTATACCCATTAAGTGTAGAAGAACACAGAAATGGAGAACACTTCCTGTTTGGGTAGATAAAGATTTCCAGGATAACTCTGGGAGCACTTTCATTTTCCCAGAGATCTTTCCAAGGGCCACACTCGTAAGACGTGTAGCTGCTCCATAAGTGAACTCTTATGGAGGAAATAATCTATTCATTGTTTTATTATTTAAAGTATTTTCAGCCTGCTCTTCAACAGGGAGAAAGGGTTCCCAAAGTGTCTTACAAAAGTCAGTATGAAGGCCAGAAGTCCAAGGAGTTGTATCATGTAAATGACCTAACTGAAAGGGACTACGGCATATCAGAGGCAGCCCTACACAATAAATTAGGTTAACATAAATTAGGTTAACATAACATAACATACAGCACTTGGTTCCAAGTGACCCACATTAGACCTTTCATGAGCTCTGTACTGTCCAAGAGGTAAGGCGTTCATTCCCAAACCCCATTTGAAAACATGTGCTTGCAAACCCCAGGGCAGCTGAAAGGCTCAGAGTAGCAGTTATACAAACTGCTTATTAATATCTTCGTAGTATCCTCAGAAGGCTTGAGAGGAGCGTGGGAGGGAGATACAGTGGACACTCGGGTTGCGAATGTGATCCGTGCAGGATGCACGTCTGCAACCCGCAGCGGTGCGTCTGCGCACGCGCGGGTTGCGATTTGGCGCTTCTGCACATGCACAAAGCACGATTTAGCGCTTCTGCGCATGCACAACCACTGAAACCCGGAAGTAACCCTTTCCGGTACTTCCGGGTTTTGGCGGTCCGTAACCTGAAAAAACGCAACCTGAAGCGTCTGTAATCTGACTGTATGACTGTATAGGGATACAAATAGATAAATCCACTTGGTCCTGCCCGCTTATTAAGACAATTTCCACCAAAACACAGGAAGCCTCCTTCAGGGTTTTCCTAGGCTAGCATCGGACCCCTGTTTGGCTGCTACATATTCTGAAAGATGTTGGCAAGCTTGTGGTCACAATGATACTTCCATTCATATGTGGTGGGAATGTGAAAAATTATCAGCAGTCTATATTCACAAACCATTCTACAGAAACAAACCTATCTCTAACCAAAGACCCAGAATTATCTCTCTTGGCCATCAAAAGTGATATAAATCCCACCCTTGTACACAAGGAGCTGCTAGCTCTCCTGCTAGCTGCAGCCAGCCTTGACATCCCCAAACACTGAAAGTCTGCATTAGGACCCTCTAGGGATGGAAGGCTTGAAAGGGTGTGGGGTGTTGCCTTGCCTGAGCATTTGACCTCTCATAGGAGGATACTAAGAGGAGTTATGAAATGAGACCATTTTGTAGTAGATGGGCACAGCTCGGCTGGGCAGTCTAGTAATGTATTTCCTTCGCAGCTCACTGAACACTAACAGAGGTAAACAGGGCTGAGCTTTTGCCCACTCATATCATCTGTTTCACTTCTTTTCACTGAGTGTGCTTTTCTTTCCAATAAAGCAAGCAATACAATTTATGGCTACCCAGCCATTTCATCTATTATTGCTAGTTAACCGCCTAGCATGGATCCTAAGATCAGTTAATGTACATTCCCAACAGGAAAGTCTTTCCTGCTTTCCCCCTACAGCCAACTATGCGATTATAACTGTGGGCAATTATCCCCTCCACAAGGAGGAGAATTCTGCAACACTCCAGAGTAGCTTCTCGGGAGCACAGATGGCTTCAATGAGCAGAGGGAGACGAACTAAGAAAACAAAAAGTTAAATAGCATGGAATAACTTTAGAGTGATGCCTTCTCTGTGTGGATTGTCATAGGATGAGTTAGCAGTGAACATTCCCCACACACTTAAAGACTATGGATTAGTGGTGGAACATTTGCTTCACATGCTAAAACTTCCAGGCTGATTCCCGTGTGTCTCTTCAGAGGAGACGCTATGAATGCCTTTCACTCTGGAAGGTGTCATTGGTGAAGGCTCTTTAAACAGGTTAGAAAACAGATTATCTTTTAATTTAAAAATGGGCATTCCAGATGGATTTGGACTTCACATCTGAATTACATGAAAAGCAGAAGAGGGATTGAAGCCTTGTTTGTGGAAATTGCCTTCCAAAGGAATTAGCTTTCTTGTGCTTTTTCATTACAGGAAGTGATCAGGAACTTGGTGAAGAGATATATTGCAGCAATGATAAGAAATTCAAAAACCAATGAAGGATTAACCGAAGAAAACTTTAAGGTAATGATATGATACTGTCATTCCCCACTTAGTGTATTATGGCAGGCGCAACATAAAAATTGTTTGACATTGTAAATATTTGCAGCATGTTCCTATGCATATCAACTCAGGTGTTAAGTCCCACTGAGTCTTATTAGACTCGCTCCTAGATTATTGGGTATTGTCACTTAAATGTCTTCCATTTTTTATTATATTTGTTAGATGGGTTTCTCACAGCAGGACCCAAACTGACTCCTCAGCTAAGAAAATCCAATGAAAAGATTAAAAAACAACAACAGATGAACAGGGGGAGAAAGATTAGGATTTACCAATCCCATCCCTTTAAAAGAGGCCTTCAAAATAAGAACCAAAAATCTGTGTAAAGAGAAAAGTATTTGCCTGGGGAGATAAATCCTGGGGTATAGGAGGAATAGGGAACCTGATGGGAACAGGCAGCACCTTAGCAGGCTCTTAGGAACATAGGAAGCTGCCTCCCACCCAGTCAGATCATTGGTTTATCCAGCTCAGACTGCCAGCAGTTCTCCAGTGTTTCAGTCTCACCTGGCTTGTTTGGGATGCAATGCATGTTCTCTGCCACCACATCACAGCCCTTCTTCCTAGTACCTTTCAGGGCTGGCTCCAATATTGCCATAGGCTTGTGTATGCTTTACCACCTACTAGAACCAAGCGGTGGCTATGGGGAGGAGGCAAGGAAGGCCCTGTGAAAATGTTAAGTGCTGATCATGGTTTGTGTGCATGTGTGTGTGTGTGTTCTTCTAAATGTTAATCTCCTCCCATCAGCTCACAACCTGTGAAAAATTAAATGGTTTGGGGATACTAAGGTTGCAGATACCATCTCACAAGAAGGTTGGTTTTATGCAATGTAGAAACTGGGCATTTAGTGTGGTGGTACCTAACTTTTGGAACTTTCTCCCATTACACATCAGACAGGTGCTGTCTCTTATTATCTTTTTGGTGCCACCTTTTCCACAAGCCTTTTTCAGTTGAGATTTTTATCCAGTCTGTTTCTGAAATTGTGAGACATCTTTGCTGGTCCCAGGTACTCTATCCTCCCCAGCAAGATTTGTGCATGAAAGACTAAGGAAGTGCATGGTTAATGTTTAGATGAAGGGGCTAAATCATATTGCAGATTTTCTTTTCCTCAACAAAAACTGCTGAACTTCTGTTCCTGATTCTAAATAATGAAAAAGATTTGTTTGCAATTCTTGTACACAGTGATGTGGAAAAATTCATTTGCATAACTTTGAACTTTGCATAGCTTCTCTCAGGAGAGTTCAACCTCTCTCCATTCCCCCACCCCCGTGACAGATAAATCATTAGAGTTTAACTCATTTTTTCCCTTCCCTGTCTCTCACCCTAGGAATTAAAGCAGGATATCTCTAGTTTCCGGTATGAAGTCCTTGACCTCTTAGGCAACCGAAAACCCCAGCGGAGAAGCTATTCCACCAGCAGCACAGAAGTCTCCCAGAAGGATGACGCTAATGAGGACACTGTTGGAGAAACATCCAAAGCGAAGAGCGTTCCTTTTGGCACAGCCAACAAGAAGAAAGATTTCAACGTGTCGGCTCTGATTAAGACTATGTCTGGGTTCGAAATGGTCAACGAGAAGCCCAAAAGCAATGGGATCAACAAGCGCTCCTTCATCCGCAATGGAAACAGGGTCCAAAGGCTCTCTAGCTCCAAGAAAGAGTCCTTCAAGCGACTGGGCCTCCTTTTTTCCAAGATGAATGGCCACCTCCCAGAGCCAAACTCAGAGCCCATGTACACCATCTCCGATGGGGTCATCCAGCCACACCTCATGTGGCAAGACATTAAGTATTCTCAGATGGCTAAAGAGCGAGACGAGAACTGCTCCAAGAGTGAAATTAACCTCAATGAGGTGGACTACAGTAGGAACGTCAGACATACGGGACAGAGCCAGTGCCCTGCGGTTTGTTCCAGTTCCCTTCACTGTGCTTCCAGCATCTGCACCTCTAATTCCAAACTCATAGACTCCTCTGAGGACGTTTTTGACTCGTGGGGAGACGCCTGTGATTTGTTTAGGAACCAATGGAAAGATGGACAGGAGGAACAGGTTACCACTCGCCTATAAGTACAGCTATTCAGTAACCTGCTGCAGAACATAACTATTACTAGAAACTGTTTGCTATCACGGATTATTCATAGTTAGGAGGTCTCCTCCCCCCCCCCCCGCCCCGCCATTTTGTCTCTACTGATGAGTGCAGAATTCATATTGTTTTAGCCGCATTCTTAATTCAAATGGCCAAATCCTTTGAACAACACACAAAAATCTATATAATACATTCTAAGGTTGCTTCATACAGTTCCTTTCTTTCTTCTCCTGCAATCTCTTTAGGATTTATATATTTTTGTTACAGAACACTGGAGAACCTCTCAAGCATTTGCTTCTTTTCCAACCTCACCTTGGTTAGTAGCTCTGCTTTGTGCCATTTTACATTCCATTTTTTTCTGGCCGTTTACTGCTCACTAGGATCAGCAGATGCTCAGTGACTTAGTTGGAAGTCAAGAGCCAGGCTGAGACTACAGGCAAGGCTAAGGGTTCAAATATATAATGAGCTTTTCGCTTTCAAGCAATACAACTTCCCATGATTTCAACTCAACTGTATGTCTTTTATTAAGGTTGCATATTGTTTTCTTATTGTAAATTATTACCACAATGAGTTAAAGCTGAGTTCTGGAACTTACTGTTTTCATGCATCAGATGTTTTTCAAAATATTCTGTTTTCTCATCCCTCCGCGTGCACCCCTCCATCCGGATATAGTAGTATGCCATTGCAATTGTCCCAGGGAAATAGCAAACCCTCCCCCCACAAATGCTATTCAGCATGTTTGACATCCAAACACATGTCTATATTTTACATAACAATGGGGTTAGTGTGGATTTAAGCAAATATACTTCATTCACACATCCTAAAACAACATGTGAAACAAACCACAGCCATCCTTTGAATTTTTTGAAATCTCCAACCAAATAATGTGTACAGAATGCATATACTAGGGGAAAGTGTGCATATGAATGCATATATTAGTGAAAACACTACACCCAAATGCATTATGTTTGTGGAAATTGCTTGCAAGAATACGTGTATTAGGAAAACTTGCATACAAAAATGTGTATTAGGAGAAATATGCACTAAAATGCTGAAAATTTTTAAAACTTAAGAAACTGATGTGGAAATGTGAATAACTGAACTTTAGATTGAGGAAAAAATGAGAAACTAAAACTGAGAGCTTTTCCCATCCCTAAGCTGACACACCAGCATTTTTAGGCAATGAGCTAATCAGTGCATCCAGAGCAGAGGACCTCTTGCAAGTGATTATTATTATATTGCATTTGTTAGTCATTTTATACCAAAAAAAAAAAAAAGTTTCAAAGTGACTTAACACCAAAATAAAATACACACAATTTAAAAACAAAGCACAATACCAAATTCCTAAAATGCTCATCCATGAGTACAATAAGGACAAATCCTGCCCTTCCCCACTGAAAGAAAAGCAAGGCAAGCCAAACTTAACCAACAGAAGCCTGAGCAAATGAAAATGTCTTAGCCTCGTGCCTAAAAACTAACAATAATGGCACCAGGCACATTTCCCTTGGGACAGCATTCCACAAGTGTTGAGGGCACCACTGAAAAAGTCTGTTATTGTGTCATCAGCTTCTGTACCTCCCTTGGATGAGACACATGGAGAAGGGATTGACAGTACAGTTTTGCCACACACAATTTCTCAGGTGTTATATGAAACATCATATTCCTGTGTTCTGATTGCACAGCCCTGGATTATAATATTTGAGCCTGGGTTGAGTACTGCTGTTAACCACCTCACCCCTAGATGAAAGGCTTTTGGGATGGGGAGGAGAATACAAACCTAGCACATTTGCAGCTCCTGCTGTGACTTATAAAAATTGAATTGTCAGCAGATGACATAGTGGTCCCTATCCAGAGAACTCACAGATAAAGAGTTTTGTGCATACACACATGGGAAATAGAGAGAACCCCATAGTCCTCGGAAGCAGGGCTGGAGCCCCTTGATTAGCAGAGGTCATTATATACTCCTTCCAGCAATCCCAGGGCTATATTTTGCCACCCAAATTGATCTATTTCATGAGATCACACCTGTAAAACAAAGTGTCTGCCATGTAGTACTGACCATTTCACAGTTAAGGAGCACATGTGTTCAGGCCCAAAATCAAATAGAGAACTTTAAAGCAAAGTTTCTCTGTTTCATACGAACTGAAAAACTCACCACATTCATAACTGTGAGCAAACATCTTACCTTATCTGGATTAACACTTGATAAGGCTTCTGAGTGGGGCTATTGGGAGTTGAACTCCAAAACTTCTGGAAGGCACCAGGTTAGTGAAGCCTGTGATGGAAACAAAGTTCAGTGTTATTCAGAATCAATTCCTTACCCCCATGATTTAGCAACTCTATATAGTGGCCTTCCAGTCCCAGAGATCTGCCTTTCCTGAAAGTTGCATGGCAAGCTTGCCTATATTGCTCTCATTGGGTAGGTTTGCCAAAGTCTTTCAGATGACTGCTCCGTTTTGAACCATTCATTGCATTTATCAGGAAAGGAGTCAGATTCTGTGCTGGCTTGTATTCCTTGCTATATTGATTCTAGAACAGCATTTCCATTCCTGGATATTTAAAGTGCTTGTTCTGGCACAGTAGCTTACCCTTTCTGAACACTGTTATTCACAACAATATACAGCTGACGCACTTACAACATGGGTAAAGTCATTGCCATACATCCTTCTCCAGTTCTGCAAGCTGTGAGAAGCTCCAGGGCTAATACCTCAGGGTTTAGTTTCCTTTGGACGAAAGCACACTTGAGGCTTCAGGTGCCTTTGTAATATTTGCTTTATTTACAAATATTTAAGCAGAACATAGTGAAAGCAAACAGCCTCCTATGAGCAGCTGCAAATCCTGCATCAGATTCCCAGAGGACAAATTGTTCAGCCCTACAAAGCTGCATCTCCCAGTTGCTGCTAGAAATGCTCAGATTTCTATTTCTCCCTCTGTCCAATTTAAATTGCCAACTGGATTTTGTCCTCTTTCTGTTATTCTCACACCCTCCTGCAAGCAGAAGCCACCCCTGTAGGTAAATTACCCATTTAGGAAGGAAAAAACATTCAAGGTATGACACAAGGCTAGGCTACACCCAACACACACACTTCACCCCATTGACTGCTGCTTCCAGGAGTGGGGAAACTCACCATGCAATATTCATGTATTCACATATTTTGCATTACTAAATATGACTGAGGGGTGAGGCACCAGGGAACTGGAGGGATCTGCAGCTTCCTGTAGCAACCAAAATGCAAAGTTCTGAGTTATACAATTTCAATAGCCATGGTAAGAATGACACCAAATGTTTCAAATATCCATTTTATTATTGCATCCCAGGATTTATCATTAGCAAGCACACCTTAATGGGATTACAGTGTTGTCTGCAACAATTTCCGAGACTAGCTTGATAACAAGATCAAACACGTCCAATGTTCAACTTCACTGCAGGTATGTGGCTTTTCTTTTCTTTTTACATTCTTCAGGGAGTAGGTCTAGTAGAATAGGTTACAACAATCTTGCATTACTTTTGCATTAACAGGAATATTTAGAGTTGTCTGCATTACCATTTTCCATTTTCAAAAAACCTACCAGTTTTTAAAATAGGGATGCCCCATTTAATAACAACAGCAGCAACAACAACAATAACTTTATTATTTGTACCCCACCCATCTGACTAGACTGCCCCAGCCAACCAGGGTGGCTTCCAATGTATATAAAAACATAGTAAAACGTTAAACATTCAAAAAAATCCTATACAGGGCTGCCTTCAGGTGTCTTCTAAAGGTTGTATACCTACTTATCTCCTTGGCTCAGGATTCACATAACTCCATACCCTCCAACATTTCTCCAGTGAAAACAGGGACATCCTAAGGAAAAGTGGAACATTCTGGGATCAAATCAGAAACCAGGACGACTTCTCTAAATTAGGGATGTCCCTGGAAAATAGGGACACTTGGAAGGTCTGCAGTCAGTGTAGGCAATACTAAGCTAGATGGACCACCTGTCTGACTCAGGATTAGGCAGCTTCCTATGTTCCTATGTTGATGAGCATCTGGGGGCTGTTAGAACTGCAGATGAACAGCTGGAGCATAGAAGTGGAAGGAACACTCTCTTTCTAAAAATGGCAAGAGATCAAATCACAAGAGCACTATTCAAACCAGTCCATCTCATCTAGATTGTCCACCTGTCATGTATGGTCTGGTCTGGATTCAGACCAGGCCCATGTCTCCCAGCCCACCAATATAACTGTTCCTATGGTGGTCATTTTCACACAAAAACATAATCTGGTGGAATACAATGGTTAATTTCCTGCTTAGTCCAATTACTAGATAGCTGCATCCTTAAACTCTGTGCATCTATTATAAAATATCCCCAACTGTACATAACATCTTTCAAGCTAGAATTTGGATTAGGAACATGGTATATTACTTAAAACCAAGTCAAATCTGTCAGGGATAATACTGTCTACACTGATAGCAGTTCCCCATGGTTTCCAGACAGACCTGCTTGCTGATATTAGGCACTGAAACTGGCACTAAGTTTCCCCCTACAAAGCATGCACTGTACCCTTCAGCGACAAACCTTCCCATGATACAGTTTATCTAAAGGTATCTCAAAATCTCTTACTTCCTGAAGGACAAAACCATCTCTTCTTACTGTTCTGTTGTGAACAGCCCTGTGATCTTTGAATGAAGGGCAATATACACATTTGAATTAATAATAATAATAATACCCAAGGAAGAAAAAAAATCACCTGCACAGCAACTGTGAATGCATAACATTTGACCTTTTAGGTCACCTGGTGCTGGCTGGGCCCCAAGAGCTTTACCTGGCAAACTAACAATGCATTATATGGGTAGATGAATCTTGCAGCAGTCAGAACTAGTTGTGGATAAATTCCAAGGCATCTGAATTATTAAGCACCTCACTTCTCAACAAAAACATCATGCAAAGCCGAACCAGCCGAGAGGCTCAGAATGCTGTTGCTCCTAGATGTCAAATGAAGCATCTTGATTTTTTTGGTCCAGGAGCCTTGCTCAAGTATCTGCAAAATCTAGAACAACTCTCTCCACTCCCCCCGACACACATTCTAATTTTTGCAGCAACCCACTGCAAAGTTATATTTAAACAAAAGAATTAGTGGGCTCAGTGTAGTGTGTAACAAGAAACTAGAACAATTTTTCATGTCTTTCATTAATACCATGTTTTCAATAATTAATTTCATTTAATTAATTTCATGTTTTTCATTAATTCCAGAAATTAATAAATGCTGTAGTCTAACAGCAAACTTCATGCTCAAGTTTTAAATAGACCATGCACTCTGCTGGGATGTGAGGAACATTCATTGTCAGATCTTACTCATCTACTAGGTAGAAGGCAGCAGAAACTGGCTGCAGAGCTCAGTTCTTAAGGAATCATCTATAGCTGCTAAGTACTGAAGATACTATCTATTGTTTATTAAATTTCTATACCCCCCCTTCATCTGAGGATCACAGGGTTGTTTACAATATAAAAATACAAAAACACATATCATTTTTTTAAAAAATAGGTTGGTGGAGGAATTTTTGGCCATTTTGATTTTGGCAAAGGAGGAGCCACTTCCTGGGCAGGTTTGAATGACGGACAGACACCATAGCAGAAACAAGAGGTTGTGTTTACATAAGGACTTAAGGAGGGGGTTGGGCAAGGGATGTAAGGGTAACTTACTCAGGGAGGTAACAGGCCAGATGTAGAAGAGCCTGTGTGTAATCAGATCTGGGACATGCTTAGGAATTTGGGAGAGGATATGGTCAGTTTCATCAGCAACCTAACTCTGTGTTGAGAAATGCATTGGTACTTATGAGGATGGGGGAAGCAGAACAAATAGCACAAATAGCCCTCCCCTCCCACACATCCAGTTCCTTTGATTCCAACAGCTTCCCCAGCAGCATCCACTGGGACCCACACTGAGGAGCAGCTGAGAGTTTCACAGGAGCAGCTGAGAGTTTCACAGGACCTTCAAAATTAACAGAGGGGCCCGGTTGTTTTGGATGCTCCAGGGGTTGTGGCTTTGGGAAGTCCTAATCTCTTGTGGAGACCCACAAAGCGGACTCCCATTGGGAAACCAGTTACTGTAACCCAGTAATTAATCAGTATTGGAGCATCTGTAAATGTTTTGAATCCAGCTTGGGTAAACAAAGGAAAGGATGCAGGAACAACAGTCAACCTAAAAGGGTGGTGAGTTTCATGGATATTCTTAGCCTAACCTACTTCCCATGGACTGCAAGAAGATCAAACCTATCCATTCTTAAGGAAATCAGCCCTGAGTGCTCACTGGAAGGACAGATCGTGAAGCTGAGGCTCCAATACTTTGGCCACCTCATTAGAAGAGAAGACTCCCTGGAAAAGATCCTGATGTTGGGAAAGATGGAGGGCACAAGGAGAAGGGGACGACAGAGGACAAGATGGTTGGACAGTGTTCTCGAAGCTACAAACACGAGTTTGACCAAACTGCAGGAGGCAGTGGAGGCAGTGGCATGCTCTGGTCCATGGGGTCACAAAGAGTTGGACACAACTAAACGACCAAACAACAACAACCTACTTCATGGGGTTGTTGTGAGGCAGGGAAATGGGCAGGGAGAGCCATGTACACCATATTTACCTGCTTGGAGGAATGGTGAGATTTAAATAAAATAAATGCATACTTTAGCTTAATTGTAAACTCTAAAACCAAGGCATTGTCCTGGCACAGAATTGAAGGAAAGGCCACTGTTATGTACTGAGTTGAATAGGATCCAAACTGCAGCAGTCTGATTGGTCCTAGAACAATAGGATCCAAATTGCAGCAGTCTGATTGGTCCTAGAACAATAGGATTCAGAATGCAGCAGTCTGATTGGTCCTAGAACAATGCAGCAGTATGATTGGTTGGCAGGAACCACCCAATCATGCTCCAGATATAAGTGAATCCACAACCTGATTGGCTTACAGTAGAATTCCAGAATTAGCCAATCATGTGCAGCCCATTGTGTAAATAATGTATATAAAGCAGATACTTTGAGGAGACTTTCATTCATTCCTCCTCACCACTATGAGCTGAATAAAGAGCATGAAATCACTTTGCGACTCTGAGTATATTTCACTGGCGACGAGGATGGGATCCCGCTGAGCTGACTGCCACACACAGCACCGCAGCACCGCCACCTGCCGCACCGCTGCCTCGTACCGTGTATCCAGGCTTCAGCTCCGGGACACAAGGAACTCAGAATGGCAACCGACAGCAGCTTCTCGCCGGTCAACCCAGCATCTGGAGACTGGGAAGCGTACGCCTCCCATTTCACCTTCCTCCTAGAAGCCAAAGGGGTCACTGACGAAGAAGATGCCAAGAAGAGGGCGATATTCTTCAGCGTCTGCGGAGAGGAGACGTTTGAAATCGCCCAGGATCTCCTTGCGCCTTAAGACGTCGCTACTGTTCCATACAAAACAATAATGGAACAGCTGAAGGGGCACTTTTCGCCGCAGTCCTCAGTGGTGGCTCGTCGAAATGCCATCTACGCAAAGCGGCAAGCCCCTGGGGAAACCATAACTGGGTTTGTGACCTCTCTCCGCCAAGCCACCTGGTTCTGCAACTTCTCAGAGCTGGAGAACATGCTTCGTGACCGCCTCGTCGGTGGCCTGAAGGATGAGAAGCTGCAACGACGCCTCTACACTAAGAAGGACCTAACGTTCCAGGTCGCTCTGGAGGAGGCCCTGGCAACGGAAGCTGCCAAGAGGTCGACGCAAGAGGCACGGCCAAGCCTGCCATCCCAACCGAGGGTCCACCACGAAGACCTCAGCAGCAGCAGCCCTGGGCCAGAATTCGCTGGCTACACAACCTGCAAACATGAACTGTTGGCCCACAAGGGGTGCCTGTTATGGGGAAGCAGGGTCGTTGTTCCCCAGCCTCTCCGCAAAAGGGTCCTCACAGCCCTACACGAGACACACCCAGGGGTAGTAAGAATGAAGGCCCTTGCCAGGAGTTGTGTGTGGTGGCCAGGGATCGACGGAGAGATAGAGGCCTGGGTCAAACACTGCCAGGCCTGCCAAGAATCCCGCCCAGATCCCCCAAGGGCCCCAGTCCAGTCCTGGGAGTCCACCCGAGCACCATGGTCATGCCTGCATGTGGACTTCGCTGGCCCCTTTCAGGGGAAAACATTCTTCATAGTGGTGGACTCCTACACCAAATGGCTGGAAGTCGCACTGGTACTGTCCACTTCTACATCCTCAGTCATCCGGGTACTACGCAGGCTGTTTGCAACCCACGGGCTCCCTGACACTCTCATCTCAGACAACGGGACTGCATTTACGTCAGGAGAATTCCAAACCTTCACAGCGCAGAACGCCATCCGCCACATCCGTTCGGCGCCATTCCACCCTGCCACCAATGGCCAAGCAGAACGCATGGTGCGGACCACCAAGGACACCCTTCGCCGCATGACGCAAGGGGACTGGGAGTACCGCCTTGCCACATTCCTCCTAGCACAGAACAGCACCCCCAGCTCAACGACTGGCTGGAGCCCCGCTGAACTACTAATGGGTCGGCGCCTTGCAATCAGATTGGACCGCCTTCACCGTGATAGAGCTCAGGATGAGGTAGTGGTGGGGGAAGGCAGGAACCCCCGGACCTTCGAGGCCCGGGACCCAGTGTACGCAAAGAATTTTGGGGCAGGCCCAGCATGGGTACCCGCCACAGTCACCAGGGTCACTGGCCCCGTGTCGTACGAGGTGCTAATGGATGGGGGGGCAATGCTGGCGCCGCCACTGCGACCAGATACGGCGACGATTCCCGGGAGAAAACCAGGAGGAGGAAAGGTCAGAGGAGTCCCAAGGGAACAGAGGGGCAGTGAGGCCCATAGAGCAGGAGGGGCCAGCAGGAGAGGCAGAATCAGTAAATACAGAGAGGACCCGCGAGGCCGAAAGGACACCGGAACCAGAACCACGACTGAGCGAGCTGGTTGCGCCAGACCAAACAGGCCCATCACCGCCAGCATCCTTGGAACACGAGCCAGAACCTGAACCCCGGACCAGGGAACACCACAGGCCGCAACACACACGTAGGCCGCCGGCGTACCTCGAGGACTATGAATGCGACCTCCCGAGCAGGACTGGAACTTAGAGGGGAGGGGTGTTATGTACTGAGTTGAATAGGATCCAAACTGCAGCAGTCTGATTGGTCCTAGAACAATAGGATTCAGAATGCAGCAGTCTGATTGGTCCTAGAACAATGCAGCAGTATGATTGGTTGGCAGGAACCACTCAATCATGCTCCAGATATAAGTGAATCCACAACCTGATTGGCTTACAGTAGAATTCCAGAATTAGCCAATCATGTGCAGCCCATTGTGTAAATAATGTATATAAAGCAGATACTTTGAGGGGACTTTCATTCATTCCTCCTCACCACTATGAGCTGAATAAAGAGCATGAAATCACTTTGCGACTCTGAGTATATTTCAGCCACCTTGGCCTCTGCCACTGGCCTGATGACTATATACGGACCGCTGGAAAGCTGTTTCTGGGAAGAATATAACAGCAAAGGAAAAGACAAAATGGCCCCATCCGTTGCCCAAAGGGGAAGCCGCAGGGAGCTTGCTTTCCCACTCACTGCCAAAAAAGAACAATGTGCTCTCCACAACCACCTGGCCTGGGTCTGCAGACCTAGTTTAAAATCTAGAGACAAATGAATGAAAACACCACATAGGCATGTGTCCTGCAAACCCACAGACATTTAAATTCTTCAGGCGAAGTTGCACTAAGGCAATTCTGTTCAGTATTGTCAGGGGTTCAGGGAGAGAGGCACAGGGTAGGCAGGAGATGGAGAGCGATGGGGAGGAATTCCAAGCCAGCGAGGAAGAGGATGACAATGACTCAAGAGATTCCATGAGTCTTTCCAGCGAATCAGAGGATTCCCAGAAGGGGCGCTGGTGGTTAAGGCCAGGGAGCCCCAGGGGGACGTGTCAGGAGCAGGGGCCAGCAGAGGATCCCAAAGGGGCAGCGGGGCGTCAGGACCAGCCTCCCCACCAGAGTGCAGTGAGGGGGTGGAGTTTCCAGTGTGTCAGAGGAAGCAGCTCCGGGAGCAGAGAAAGGAGGGAGGTCAGAGCACGCCGCCCGTCCGGAGGGGAGGGGAGCAGTGAAGGGCGTAGTGTAACTGTCAAAAGGAAAGTTAGCGGTTTGGCGCGCGCGCCTGGTTCAGATGTAGAGGCGCGCGGACGTACAGGGAGCCCGGAGGAGGGGCCAGGTCCCCAAGCCCGCAGGAGGGGAAGAGCAGTCTGGGGATTCAGCGTCAGAGGAATCCAGGAGGGGCGAAACCCCAGCGGGCAGAAGGACCCTGCGGAAAAGGACGGATTCAGAGGGGACTTCAGCGGTCTAAGCGTAAGAGACGTAAGGCTGCGCGCCTAGGATGTCAAGCAAACCATGAACTGCAATAAACACCTTTGTATATAAGAAGACATAGGCGTTGGTCTTTTGTGAGCTGAGACTTGAGGCAGCTTTGACAAGTATCTTATCCAGAACAGTGAATTACAGCTATAAATACAGCTCAACTGTATACTCAAACTTGTCCCAGTAACTATAAAACAAAGCTGACACCAGAGTCTTGCTGCCACTTCTGTTACTCTGAAGCTTCCTAAAATAGGAAGGACTTAGGTTTTTCTGCACCCCTGCTAGGGATGGGGAGAAATTACCGTAGATTCAGTTTGCATTTAAAGGCAAGCCTATGTAATAGACACACAAACAGGAACACAGCCAGCCTTCAAAATTTGCACTCCAAATCTTGTACTTTTCTCCATCCAAGTAATGTGTACAAAAGTATGTATACAGCAAGCCTGCAACTTATGGGCATTTAACTTGTGTACATTCAAGCTTTAGGTGCTTGGCAAATTAAAAAGGGGGAAAGACTTCCAGGGGTGTGTGGGAAGACTTTGACAACCCCACTCACCATTGCACCTAATGTGTTTTTGACCAAATGCAATGTTGGCTTTACATGCAATTCCTGGAACGCGGCCCCTGCATAACTGTACTAGGGCAAAGTGCATAGGGTAAAAAAATGCATCTTAGTAAACATGCAAAAATGCATTATATTGGGAATAATGGGCTTTGCAAAAAATGTATTTTAGACAAAACTGCATTCACAGATATGTGCATTAGGCTAAAATAGCACTAAGATGCTGATGAATTTTCATGGGATTTAAAAAAATATTATCAAGCTGATGTGGAAATGCGGAGACCTGAACTTATGTTTGGGGAAATAAAACCAAAGGTGACAGACTTGCCCATCTCTCACCTGCTCTTTCACCATCCAGAAAATCCAGATGAATTTGTCTTCCAGGCTCCTTCACTCAGTGAGAGACAACCAGACTAATTTTGGGTTGTAGTTTTTTAAATTTGCTGCTTATTAGTGCACTATAATCCCCAACCATTAGTGCAGTAATTCTTTCCCACAATATATAGACTTTCCCGTCCTCAATATAATAAATCACTATGTCAAATGTAACATATAAAAGAAACACAGGAATGCTTGGCAACTGGAAATTTCTTCTTTTACGGATAACTAGTTGCGCCATGTGGTGCCCTGGATGTGACCTCATTGGGAATGGCACGGCATTCTCCAAGAGGGAAGGTTCATGGTGCAAATGCATTACCTGGTAGCTGGCACCATGCTGTGGTACAAAAATAGGGTTCTGGGGTTCTTCAAAAAAACTAGACTATGAGCAGGAACTTGCGATTCTGACAAGGATCCTGCACCCAGGAGAGAGAGAGGCAGGGGAGAGAGATATTCAACATATAACAGTGGATAGTATTTCTCAAGCCCTTTTATTTTGTAAAAGAAGCTGATAATTAAGAAAAGCATTGGAAAACTATCTACTTTGTCACCAGAGATACAAACTGATTACCGTATTTTTCGGACTATAAGACGCACTTTTTCCCCTCCAAAAATGAAGGGGAAATGTGTGTGCGTCCTATGGAGCGAATGCAGACTCCTTGGCATCAGCGATAGCAACGCGAAGCCTCCAAAGCCTGCGCTCCGGAGGCTTCGCGTTGCTTCCGCTGAAGCCAGGAGAGTCTGCTCTTTGAGGCTGGCGGTGGGGGAAAGCAGCGCTTCCCCCATCACCAGCCCCAGAGGATGGGGGGCAGCGGGAAGGCGCGCGACGCCTTTCCGCTACTCTCCAACCCGGCTTCGAGGCTGGTGGTGGGGAAAGCAGCGCTTCCCCCATCGCCAGCCCCAGAGGATGGGGGGCAGCAGGAAGGCGCGCGACGCCTTCCCGCTACTCTCCAACCCGGCTTCGAGGCTGGCGGTGGGGAAAGCAGCGCTTCCCCCATCGCCAGCCCCAGAGGATGGGGGGCAGCAGGAAGGCGCGCGACGCCTTCCCGCTACTCTCCAACCCTCCTTTGGGCTTTTGCGGGAGATGGGGGAATTCCCCCACCTCCCGCAAAAGCAGGCAAAAGCCGCGCGCTCTTTAAAGGGGCTCCGCGGCTTCTGCTGGCTTTTCTACGAGGGGGGGGATTCCCCCACCTCCTAGAAAAGCCCGCAGGAGCCGCACAC